CACCTGCAGAGAGAGGTGGGAGAGGGAGACTGGGAAACTGGGAGATGCGGTCCGCAGGCGCAAGGGGGGAGGCGGAGGGCGAATCGCGGCATAAGGGAAATTCGGCGGTTCGCAAACCCCTGCGGACCACTGCTATAGGAAACAGCTGGACTGATGAGCGGCTCTCCTCTCTCGTTCTTTTCCCCTCCCTTTTCTCTCTGCTGTGTTCCCTCCGCGAGCACGGTCCGCACTTGTCTCCGAACCCAATGCTCACGCTCCGCTCTGCGCCGCGCGCCGGTGCCTCTCCTCTCTCGTGTACCCTTTGCCCATTCATCATTGCACCCAGGTTCTCTGTCCTCACCGTACGCAGATCATCCAGGTTCGGTAGCCGGTGCGGACCACGCGTCAAAGGATTTTCTCTCTCCGCCGCGCCACATGCCGCTGTCGGAAGCCAAGCGCCCGATACTTATTTGCGATCTACTATTCTGTATTCCTCGAGTTATTATATATTGCTCCCCACATTCTTAGCCATAATTTATTAATTGTTTCAAAATATTTTAGGGTGTTCGGCGAACACTGCGAACCTATGGACGCCACGCCACTGCTGATAATGTGCTTTCTTGCAAAAACAAAATTACGAATTTCACCGAGAGCGCAATATTCAGTAGACATTACCTTTTAAATGGAACTTTCTAAAATACTTTCAAGAAATTTTTGTCTGACATTACATAGGTTTACTGCTCAAATTGTACCAGCTGCACTGTTCTGGGGGAGCCCTACTTAGAGAAAATTTCTACACCAAACCACCAAGAACTTTCCTTGGCTACACCAAGAAATTTTCTAGTTTGTTACAGGGATTTTCTTCGGAAGGAATATTTAAAGTTGATAAATGTCCAAATGTTTTCGTCAAATTTTTTTAGATATTTTTCGCTTTATTTTGTTCTGAATTTTTAATTTTGTAGAGAGCATGTGATGTCATAGTCTTTGATGGAAGAGCTCTCCAGGGATTTAAAAGTTTGCAATGTTAAAGTTAGATTGAACTTACAAACTGCCGGTTTTGATGGGTGTGCTGTTGGCCGATATTGCCTCCTTGATTTCATCAAATTTCTTTGCTACTGACGTTTTCAGGCTGTGGAGACCTCCCATGATAGATTCTGCTTTCTTGGTCGAGATGCCACTTGTACTGTAAAAAATTTACGACTTGAAATGAAACTTTCAATAATTCTTCAGGTTTATGCATTTCCAACACCTCTAACACATTAACAACAGTGCCAGTTGTCAATTGAAATGAAATTGAGGGAAGAGAGATTTTTTAGCAGGTTATGATAATGAAATGAAATAAAAATAAAAATTGTGGACAGCTATAATAAACGAGATACAAAATATTTTACTACTCAGTTTCTTTTTCCGCTCAACTCAAAGGTTCTAATGATTACAGATTCCAGATGGCTACTAAACAAAGTAAACATTTCTAAAACTTTAACTAGTGATAATTTTGAAGAGGTGGTATGTAAGCTCTTGATTTAAGAAATGTGATTATTTTGATCCCTTTCCAAACCTGTGTCATAAACAGAACCTGACATTAGGGAATTTTGAGTTGAAAGGTGCCTAAACTGGGAGACAAAACTTTACAATTTTTTCTTTCAACTCTTGGGCTATATTCTTATATAATAAGTCCCAAGATTTTCTCAATTCAATTTCAATATTAGCAAACCTGTAGAACAGCTTAATCCTTTCATTTGTACTTACCCACAGATTTGCATTGTTTATGTTTACCTATCCTTCATTATGCAATGTCGTACATTATTAATACCAAAGAAGAAAAAGCAAAATGTAAAGAAATTCAAAACTAGGAAGCTAACCTGAGATTATTGAAAGCATTCTCAATAATTTGAGTGCCCAAAAGCAGATCGGTTTTGCGGAGACTGAACCGGGAGGGTGAATAACGACTGGAAATTAAACGGATATATTGAACATAAAAAACAGGCAAAAAACTAGCTGAACAAAAATATAAAAAATTAAAAGAACTAAGTTATTAAGCATAACATGTGTACTAACTAAAAATAACTGAAAAAAATATAATGCTGAACATAAAATATATAACTATATGACTTTAAAAAAGAAACCAAATGAACTTGTAATGATACTTAGGTAGGTAATTAGTACTGGTAATCGACAAGCGCTGGGAGCTCATAAAATACGTAACACTGAATTTCCGAATTTCTCACCTCCTCTCCTTTTCCTAGTGAAACTTTTGTGATGTAGGTCCCTATCTATAGAAATGTAAAAACAAAATGGCGTGACTCTAGCTGGCGTAACCCTATACCTAGCATTACGTATTTTATTAGCAGCCCCTGGGAACACACATTAATATGACAAGAGGAGGAAAATCTTTTAGTTTTATTAGGTAATACAACGTGAATGCAGTAAAATATACTCAAAGCAAATTTGTAATCCTCTTCTCTTCAAAATGCTATGTTTTGCATTCCATTTGTGTGCATTCTGAGGGTGAATTTCTAGTTTGGAATGCATCTTTTGGTGTTTTTTTCTCTTCTGGGCCAAGTTTTAAGCAAACATCTATTTAAATTTTTAGACCACGGGTAAAAAATTCTTCAATTAAAATGATGCTAACTGGGCAACTGCTAGAGCTGTACAGCTGACCTGAACTGAATGATGAGATATTACCTGCTCATACTAGAGTTTCCATTGATGTAAGATGAAATTTTCGAATTTACTGGCCTCCCATGAGCATTTTAAGAGTATAATTGAAAACTAACTCATTATATTTGATTCTTTTACTTCAGATTTTTGTGAAGACAATTTAATTTTAATATGCCTCCCACATTACTAGATGAATTTAATTATTTTTGTTAATTATTCATCCAGGCTGGAAACAGCTTTAGTGATTTAAAGCTCACAAACACAAAGTAACAACCAGGGTTTAGGTAGCCACTATCGAAACTTAGAGTGAAACTGACACACTTGAATGATCAAACTAACGTTAAACAAAATCATGCGACTATTTTAGAACGAACGATACATCCTGTCATGCTGAAACCCAGAATTTCATAAACCCCTCCCACTTTTCACACACTTGTCATGCAGGCCTGAGCCCCTTAAGAAATTATACCATGCTTTGATTGATAACCCCTTTCTATCCGGTAAAAAAGCTGAATTTTTGTCATTGTCAGTTCCAAAACTATTGGAAAAATGTCCATGATAACAATGCTTTGAACCCTTTTTTACATGACATTATGTGGTACTAGACCCCACTTGTGAAGTGGGACTGTCACACCTTCCTCCTACGTGAGCATGGAATAATTTACCCTTACTACACTGCATTAACTTAAGGCAGCAATAACCCTTCCTACACTGCATTAACTTAGGGCAGCAAAAAGCAGAAATTAACAGGTTAGACAGATATCAATATGAAATCAATTTTAAAACAGGAAGAATGAAGCTTACGTGAAAGGTATTTTAAAGCTGCTCAAGCCTGTTTTTAATGCTGAGCCGTCTGCCGGTTCTTCCATATTATCGACTGGCATTGTAGAAGATCGGTGCATGGATTTCCTGTGAAGTGGGGAGACATCATCCTCGTATTCTTCATCTCCTTCATCTCCATCTTCATCACTCTCCACACGCGTGCTAAATATTGCACTTTGAGTCGTGTTAGACCATTCGCCTTTCCGTCGGTCGAATAACACAGGCGCCCCAGACTCGTCGAGCTCTATCTTTGAAGAGACACGTGGCATTTCCCGTTTCTCTGTGGTTTTTTCACTCAGTGTTTTGTTTTCCTCTTCAGTGGGAGACAAAGCTCCAAGTGGGTCATTTTCTGTCACAGGTGTTCGAATGGGGCTCTTGATGGGCGAGCTATTGAAACTAAGATTAAGGGAGTCATTACTAGTTTCCAGCTTTTCTTCGTTGATTGAGCTTACAGATTGCCTTCTTGTCCATTCATCAGGTTTAAATTTATTCAATTTGTTTTCTAAATTGCTTAAAACTGCATTTTTACTTTTTGGAGTGCGCACATTCACATCATCTTCACTTCCAAAATTTGAAATGTTGCCTAAATTTTCAATTGAGGAATCTACACTTTTAGAGTTAGGATGTTCGTCAAGTTGCTTCAAGCTAGGGTTAAGGTGTTTGTTGAAAAGTGACTTTGAGCACGTCTCATGTTTATTGCGCAGGTTTTTCTGTGCGACCATTGAAACGGAGTCACCATTACTTAAGTTTGACTTGTAGCCCACTCGTTCTTGTTTCAGGAGTTTTAAATTATCTAAAATTTGAGCATCATTTGCGAAACTCTCGGACCTGAAAAAAGTAATCCAAAGGTTAAAAACTTGTCTAAAAAGTCATGATGTGGGGAAATGGTTACTCCGTTTTTGCTCTGGTTTTCATTTCTGTAGAGTTTAAAGGTTGTTATGTGACTGAAAAGAATTCAAAGAACATTTGAAAGAATAAAAGTCAAAGTACTTGTTTTTAGGTTTAGAGTTCCACAGTTTGAATTCACTAGTTTGAGATAATGTTTTGGGTATAAGAGAAATACGAAAGCTAGGATAAGATCTCCATGTATATGCTGAGAATTTGTTTGAGTTACATTTTAAAACATGGTGTTTTAAAGTAATTTAAAGAAAAAATCTTGCATGAAAATTGAAATTAAGATGACATTAGATCAGAGCATACACCCTGATTCACTCAGACAAAATTATTGGTTTGTCCAACTCCCACCTAGAAAAAGGAGAAAAAAGCTTGCATTGCTGCATTTTAGTGCGTAAATTTGTGCCTTAAAATACTGAGTTGAAGAAAATTACCGGATGAGGAGTTTGTAACAATCACTGGTATCATAGGGGCTGTGCTTAGGACTAGAGGGAGCGGGAGTGTTTCGTCGGTGAGTAGAACTAGGTGACATGTTTGAAAATGAGAATTCTGTACAGGATCCACTGCGAGCTTTCCTCGAGCAAGGCCTGAAACAAATGATATCCAAAAAAAATTATGCTTACTCAATGTTATACGCTAGACATAGATATGCAATGGTTGAAGGAAATAAAGGATGTATTTCACCGTTCCCAGGACAAATTTGTTTTTTGTCAACTTCTTCAGTTTCTGTTTTCCCATAAAAAGTTCCGAAAGAGGTGTCATGCAAAAGTCAAGGAGCACGTTTAAATCTACTGGATCGGCATATTGGTATAGACCGAAAAAATATGTACCTATCTCAAATCAGCCTTCTCAATCTCAAGATTGAATGCGTTCGACAATGTAACTTCTCATCTTCCTTCGGTATGAAAATGAACTAAATTGTTTGTGAATTCTTTTCAGAATACTTAAGATTTTACTATCCAAATCTCAAAATCTAATTTTTCGACCCCACTTGACAAAAAATTGTAGTACTGAAAATTTTTCTTCTGTGGGTTAAAGTTTCCCCCTCCTCTATGAATAGGCATACTCGTAAATATTAGTGCGTATTGAAGGCATTTGTCACAATATTCTTAAATGTCAATGCTGTTCACGAATATTTGAATGACTCATCATGTTTCTGTCCAAGTAACTAATCTACACACTTCATTTTAAAACTTAACTATTCGCACTGCCTTGACAAAAAGCTTTGTGATTTTCAATTTCATCTAAAAATACAGTAAGACCTCGGTTTATCGGATTTCATGGGACTGGAAAAATCCATTAAATCGCAGAATCCGTTAAATTGCACAAGTGGATCCTGCTGAAGGGACCGATGGATCAATCCGTTGAATCACGATCCGATAATTCGAGGTCTTACTGTATTCCTTTTGGAGGAAGTCTAAAAAAGGTCTAAAGGTTAAGGTTTAAGAAATAAGGTTTTTATTCAATTCATCTGGGCAAACCAGTAAATAAATTTAAAAGTTTGTAAATTTTAAAACATGAAAAACCTTTTTAATAGAAACAAAATGTTAAGCAAGTACCTGGCAAATGGTGGGGGAGTGTTTAAAATAGCATCAAATTGTTCCAAGTCCCATAAATCTTGAGATTCCTCGGCGATAGAAAGAGAAGCACCACCTGTCATCAAAAGACCTGCACTGCTTTTGACTAGAAAAAAAAACAACAAAAAAGAAAGTATTAGAGATTAAATGGTTTTCGACCCTCTTAAGGTTTTATTTAAACCCTGCATAATGGGTCAGTTGCGCTGGTCACAGAATCATGTTATGATTCTTTATTCTTGCAGATCAACTAAAAATAATAACATCTGCTCAAACAGCAACTTTCTACGTTGAATATTGACCGAGATATCATGCCTTAAGTAATCGATTTTGACGTCATCCACTGCGATAGTACGTACCATGTTATGCACCACCGCAGTGGATGACGTCAAAAACCGGACTTTTCAAAGAACGATATCTCCGTTAATATTCAACGTAGAAAGTTGCTGTTTAGACAGATCTTCTTATTTTTTGCTAGTCTACAAAAATCAAGCATCAAAACACAATTCTGTTACCAGCGCAACTGACTCATTATTCTCACTAGTTCTAAGTCACCATCTTTAAATTTGCAGAAAGCTAAGCAAAATTTTAAGGGGAAAGAAGAGAGAATGAAAAAAGAGCAGCGCAGAGTAATGCACACTTTGCAAAAAGTTCTTTACCAAACAACATGTCTGCTTTCAATAGCTCACTCAAATAATATTGATTTGGTTCTTTTTGCAAGCAAGGAGTTCTAATTGACTGCATTTACTGTACGCAATTGCCTCATTTCTAAGTTGATGTCCGACATTTTCACTATGTTTAAAAAATTTTCATGCAAGTTGATGAGAAAATACAGATTGTAAGGCTAGAAACTTAACCTAGCCTTGTGGTCAATTAGAAGATACAGAACAAAGAAGTTGACCTAAGATTATTTTTACTCACATGACTCTTGTTTGATGGCAGTTCTAGGACACACTAAAGGTAGGTTCGAGGTGCGTACTATGCTGCCAATTCGAGATCTAAACTTATCAAACGCAATACTGTCTGAAGGGGCAACAATGGAACGGCTGCCAGCATCTATAAAACATCAAGAAAAAATGAGAATAATGAATCAAAACCCTAAAAATAACAAAAGGGAACATAAACACGATCCAAAAAGATTCACATACATGGTGATGCATCGCATGTAACTTTCTCACTCCAAATACAGGTAGATCTACCTTTTTGTTTGCTGTCAATTGATGTATCCATCAACGTATGACTGACATCAGAGTACATTTTCATCATTTTCTGTAAATTAAAAATTCAGTGAGAACAGATGAGTTTGATGAGACTGCAGAATGGGACTGTGTGAGTGAAAAATGGAGTCATCAAGCTTTTAGAATGGTAGAGAAAATGCTCCTGTTAGGCTTGCATAAATGCATATGTTGATCAACCAATATGAACTTGCTGATTTCATCTAGCACTCTATTATAATGAGGGGCATTGTACACATTGGCAAACGGACTTGATGCTTTTCGTTAGCTACCCCCTTTTGCTCCTTAAAAACTTCTTGTACCTTTTCTTCATACAGAATGTTTTAATAGTGTCCCCATTAATGGACAATTACGATGACAATGACAATCTAGTGCAGGATCGCACTGAAAGGACTACATCGATGGTTAAGGTTGAAAAATGTATACCTCTGTTGCAATGTTTCAAAATCTTCGGTAATATTTAATTTTTCTTTCAGAAAACGCAACAGAGTATCTCCTTTTAATTGTCTTGGAATATTTTTGAATGAGTGAAGAAAATTCACTACTCAATTAAGAAAAAAAATTATTGGTTGATTGCCTTTTTAAAAAAATACAACATGAGCTGAGATTTGTAATATTGCAATTAGAGTTATGCGTTTCCTACTTCAACCAATGAAATGAAGATTGTGTATGCAGACACAAGTTTTATCAATCAGTTGCTTCATGATGTCACATAAGTTTCCAAATCATTGTTTGGAATGTTACAGGTCATATTAGAGTCCCTTTATACCCAGAGTTAAGACAACTCACTTTTGGTTGGGCTGAAAGTGGCCTAAAAAAAAATCCAATTCTGATTGGTTCTCGCTCATGGAGGCCGAAACGAGTGCACCAAGATGGCGGTACCTCGAATGTGAACAAGAATAATGAAAATATTACCTAACTGTGGTTTATCAAGAGTAAATTGTTATTTTCATCGGTCCAAAATGAAAACAAATTAGGAAATTATTCACAAACCAATCTCATTTTCTTTTTAATTGATCAATTTGTTGATGTTGTTGTTTTTGTGTGACAGACATCGCAGGATTCCTGATCCTTATCCCTCAATATCGTTCGTTTGGGTGCACTCGTTTCGGCCTCCATGGCCAGCTGCCAGTCAACTGATAATCGAGTTGTCTTAACTCTGGGTATAAAGGGACTCTAGGTCATATGATATTTTGGACAAGGTTTGATGGAGTTATTCTGATACCTCCATTTGGAAGGGGCATTCAAAGAATGTATAAAAGTGGACTCAGGAGCTTACAGAGGATTCTGAAACAACATTTTACACATAGAAAAACCATGTTCCAATTATAATTACGCTTTAAGGGGTGCTAATGCAATACTACAAGGTATTATAGCTTTGATCTACAAGAGCTATTTTCAAAACAATAACGACACATTCTATCAAATATTTTTGTGGGCAAAACTGATGTGATGCGGAGAATAATGAGAGAAAAATCAGAGAATAAAACAAAAGAAGGATACATTACGGTTATGAAAACTAACCAGCAACAAAAAGGTTTGAATACAAAAAAAACATTCTACAGTGATAAAAAATAAAATTGAGAAAGGTATGGTGGTGAAAAAGTTGGCTGATATTTTAGAAGTACTTTGATCTTGATGAATATTTCACTTAGATTAAAGTTTGTGTCAAAAACAGTTTCATAAATATCAAGAGTGAGAAGAAGTTAAATCAAAGCTGAGAGAGCAAAGAACGGTTCAGAAAAAAAAGCCTGGTAATTTTACTACTGTTTTTCACGAACGACTTCTTTTTTGGCTCAATAGAGAAATACAGAACTGATTTTTATACATCAAACCTCTACTGTTTTTCAGCGCTACACCAACAGTATGGAAGGACTCTCAAACATTTAGCAAGTTTACAGGATAGAGGCACTTTTTGCAAAATACTAATTGAAAGCAAAAATTGACATTTACTACAAAAACAAGTGAAAAAACAGTAAGAGAAAAAGCGAAAAAAGCTTCTCAATACAAACAACATTAAAACAAGGAAAGAGATAGAGAGAGAGAGAGAGGAAAAGTAATATTTAGAATACTCATGTCATTCAGTATAAGTTGCCAGACTCTTTTTCTAGTACCAAACAAAACACTATATACTTGCAAAGAAAAAACGTTTCTTAGTTAAAAGTTGTGACGCAACCACTTGATTTTATCGTCTAGAGTAGTCTGTTGCCAAAGATACTGTGAAGAAAATTGTAGGAGAAATTTTTTTGAGTAAATGTATTGAGCTTTTAGACTTCTTCAAATATTTCTTAAGAATATTAACTGAAAATCCACCTTGCTCCACTTTAAAATAATTACTGTGCACTATGATTTGCACATCAGCCATTGAAATCATTTCTAACTTGGGCCCATTCCTTAAAAATTAACATAAAAGACAGCAAGAGAGCAATGTAACAATAACTAATTAAAACAGTTAAAATAGCAAGGATGAGATGAGTTCCTGTAAGATAAATCGGTGACAATGATTACCCCTCCCTCATGGGCATGAAATTAGGAGACTATACAACGTACCGAGAGCATCAGATGAGTAATCGGGTCGGTTAACCGTTACGAGGGTCTCAGTTTCCGCGGCCAAGGGATGGTCAATAGTAGCGGGGTCCAAATCAATGAGACAGCCCTCGCTAATGTCAGGCTCAGTCTGATCACTTTCTTTGATTGGTACATGAATGTCACCACAAGAGCTAGTGTAACCAGTATCTGACTGGCTGCTTGTTGTTGTCATACCTACAAAATTATAATAACTCTAGCAACCAAGAAGCAAAAGATAGCAAGCCTACAAAAAAAAGGTAAATTCAAAGAAAAGGATTTTTTTAGGTTTTCATTACTGTTAGACTTCGAAGTTGAGGATTTGGAGTATGTTCCTTCCTAGTCTCTTTCCCGCCACGCTTCTCTACCTATACCCATTTCTAACCATTGAGAATCTGAGAGAGACTGTACCCCCTCCCTTTGTCATAAAACACATTCTTTCAAAAGGGATTGTAAGGCAACTGTTTTTAGCATAGCTCCTATGTGACTTACTGCCAGAACTCAGGGCTCCACTGAGCTGTGAACATTACTGTGCTAACACAAAATTCAGTTTTGATGAAGCCTTGAAGAGAGATGAAGATTTTTTCATAACAGACTGATGCTGTCAAACCCTGAAATCACTTCTGAGTATGGAAAACAGACCAGTTTTGATAGCTCAGGAGCCCTTTTGAAGTCTAGGTTGTAAAGTGTTGGCGTTACTCTTCAATGCACTGACTCTTGTTTTCTGATTTAATTTATATTCTCATCATAAAAGTACACTTATTCATTTCACAATATGTATTTATGTGAGTATTTATCTGGATGCTTTATTATTTCTTATCCACTTCTCCCTGTATGCTTTTCAACCCATTTACATGGCTGATGTGATTTTATTTTCCATGTTTCAAAATATTACTGGTTAAAGGGGGGGGGGGCAAATAGGTAACATTAGATCATGATAAAATTAATACATATACTTCAAGCTTCATTCTAGGCTTCTTTAACTCATTGTCTACTCCTTTTCGCTGAAAATCATTTTTACTTTTTAATAAGCTAATCAGTTTCGTGGAAGAATTGGGAAATGGGTTTATAGTATAAGAAGTTCATCCTTGCCTAGAATTTTAAAATTTCAACAAACATACAAAAAAATTACAAGTATTTCAATGCAGATCTACAGAAAGCTAAAAAAAACTAACGAGAAGCTCTTCGACTATTAAATACCTACTCAACATGCATGCTCAACTCATTTTGCTAAGTACAATGGCAATAAAATACAAAGACACTGTCTACATAATACAAAGAACGACGAGAAAACATTCTTAGGATACTCACCATTATTGAGAGGGTTGGCAATCCTTGCTAGCAAGTTGGCGGACTCCTGAGAGTTATTACTATCCATGGATGTGTGAGAAACGCCATCAACATCGACAACCGAGGACCCTGCATCCTCACTGACAGACAAACGCCTCTTGCTTGCCATTTTACCCGCATGTTTGAATTGAGCAGCACCAATGACAACATTTCTGAAAACAGGAGAATTTACTTTGAAGTAACGTTTGAAAACAATTTACCCAAGGGCAAGTTACTTCTCCTCGTGCAATCTAGATTGTAGCTGGGCAGGGAAAGCAAGAAAGTGAGCATAACTGCTTCGATTACGTAGCATGGGGTCAACGATTACGGTGTCAACAAACAGTTTTTCTAAGTTTTTGTTGACACCATGATCATCCAAAAATAAAAAATTCTGACTCTTATGAAACATGATCACGGTGTCAACGAAACTTAAAACTTCCCTCTATAACATCTTTCAAATTTCAAATCTTGTTTTTCCTGTGTTTTACTTCAACCTAACCTAACCTAACCTTACCCAACCTTACCTTACAAGACCTAACCCACTTTCACGGAACTTAACTTTCCCCGACCTTACCCTACCTAACTTTAACCTTACCTACCTAATCTAACCGTACATGTTCTGACCTAAACTTACCTAATCTAACTATACGTGACCAAAACCTCTCCTGTACACTTAATTTTTGAATTTTACTCATAAGTAAGATATTTTCCTGTTTGTTGACACCGTGATCGTTGACACCATGCTCAGGGCCCATTTTTGCGTTTTACTGCATGAGCACGACGTCAACACTCGTTGACTCCATGATCAGATTTTGGGTTTGTTGACACCATGATCGTTGACACCATGCAACGTCACCGAGCAGTTCAATGTTGCCAAATTTCCTCTCAGAAAATATTTCGTACTGAAGAAAATTACGCACATTTCTCTGTAAAATTTGCAGATATTTTAGATGAAATTGCGAACAAAATTGTCTGAAAAATTTATAGAAAAATCTTCATATGTTTCTTAGTAAATTCGTCATTTTCTTAAGGAGATATGGCAACATCTAAAGGCTCATGCGGCGTTCTTTCTAAGCGCGGCAGATAAGGGGATGGTCAATATAATTAAAATTCACCTTAACATAGGTGACTCAACTGTCACTCAACGCCACTCAAATGTGGCGATACAGCAAATTTTTTTTCCCTGAAAAAACACTATCTTTTTAACAGAAATTCCTTTGAACGAATTTCAGTTCAACAAAGGGAATTTTTGGTCCTGTGGCTATTGTTTCCATGTAAAAGAGCACCGATGTAAAAAACTTGTAGAAATCCTTACAAGTGTGAAAGGCTGCGGAAAATTTTCAAGATTCCTGATATCTTATATCTATTGGGGTATGGCTGCAGAGGTGGCCATGTTAAGTCGGATTTCTACGCAACTTATTAGAGCAAATTCAAAGTTTCCCAAAGAATGAAATTATAAATTGAATGATAATACCAACCTAAGTTTATTCCACAAGATCTGGCTTGAGTTGCTCATGCCAGAGGGCCACTGAGCTTCTAGAACTGCTCGGTTGTAGAAACCATAAGTGATGGCGTTTGGCTGGATACCACTTCGCTTCATTAAAGTCAGTAACTTGACTGCCAAAACTGGCTGACTATGAACACCACACAACTGCATCATGACTCGATAACAAACCTAAGGCATAAAAAAATAAATTTAAAAAAAATATACACATAATAATTCTAGTTGGATTCTGTGTAGGGTTCATGAAAGCTTATTAGAGACAAAATCAAGGATTTTTATTAGTTTTTAAAAAATCAAGGATTTTTATTAGTTTTTAAAAAATCAAAGATTTTTATTAGTTTTTAAAAAATCAAGGATTTTTATTAGTTTTTAAAAAATCAAGGATTTTTATTAGTTTTTAAAAAATCAAGGATTTTTATTAGTTTTTAAAAAATCAAGGATTTTTATTAGTTTTTAAAATATTTTGGAATGAGGAATGCTGTAAAATTGGAGGTTTCCTTTCCTAATACCTTCTATATCTGCTGCTATATTAGGAGGCTCAAAGGTCATCTAAAAAGAAAGAATGCATATTGGCTTAATACCTCAGAAATTAAAATTTATAAATAAAATGATCAAACTAAAAATGAAACAAAAAGAGACCCTAGATACAAGGTACACTCTACTACAGGTATGGACAAATGGAATTTTAGAAAGTCGTCGAAACGCGTAGATTTGACAGCATCCAATGGTACAACTGCGATGTCATATGGAAAACTCATTTACTTTCTGTTCTGAGAGTGGGTCTTGTCAATTTTTTGTTATTTTTTCGTGTTCTTAGTTACGCTGTCCGTTATTTTGAGTTTCATCAATTTTTTAAATTCATCTGATAGCTTATTGAAGCTACCAAATCTGCCAGAACCTCATTTTGAACTGCACGGCAAAGACAGTACGACTTCCGACGTCACTCGATGGCCTATATTCTCAGCGCCGCCACTTTGGCACTCCGTTTTTCCATACCTGTGGTGGAGTTTACCTTGCACCAAATAAATGTAAATAGTTCTAAATTGCTCCAAACCACAACTTTCCAAAATGATTGAGTTTGGATCTGATTCAAGAGGGCGAATAGTGTAAAAATTACCTCATCTGTGGGCTGCAAGCCAGTTTTCTGGATTTTCACCAACAGGTCGTATGCAGAAAGCAAGATAGTTGCTGCTTTCGACTCAACATTTAAAGCAAAGCTGGGTAAGTGTATGAACCAAACACTGTAACAAGTTGTTAGGAGACACTTTGCCCATAAATCAGGATGTTCAGCATACTTTCTGGCTAGCTTCTGCGCCAACTTAATTTCATACTTCGTTCGCCGTGCCATAGGGCTACCTGGCATGGCAGCCATACTTTTGTGATCAGCACTCAGGTGATTTTTGACCTCTTTGACTTTATAGAGGGATTTGTCGAGGACAAAGCCATTTGGGTACGAATAAGTGACATCTTTCGGAAGCCCTGTAGGTTCTGGTGGCATAATAAACACAGTCCTTTCACTTTGATGTGAGTCATCTAGTTCTATTAGCTTAGAGTCACCACTATCTTGATCCACTTTCTCCGTGCACTCATCAAAAAACGCAAGCCCTGCATCCATGTCCGATACGAAAGATCTTTCCTCAATGAAGCGAATAAACATCTGCGTTCGGACCATATTATTGTAGAATTTGCTGTGCGCCTTGTCTCTTGATTTTAGAAAACCTAGAAGAAAAAATAATGATAATGTTTAGACATTTTTATTGGAAGTTTTTATTCTAGAATTACTCTCACCGGAACTTTAACACTGATGATACACTGAGATGATCATGGTAATTTTCGAAAATGGGATATTTCAAAAATCAAACAATCTTAATTCAACCATGAAAATAATCAGAAAAACTACATATATCCTTCCTTACAAAGAGCATCTTGCGCTTTCTAATACAGCTGTTACCAAAATGAAAAGGTTAACAGAGCAATAAACTAAAGATTTGGGCAAGAAACTGTTGTATCTATTCTCTTCAATTTATTTATAACATTACATACAAACAACTCAGTTAAGTTTCGATTCAAAATAAGAGAAAAACAAAAGAACCTTTGGTTCAAATCCATCTTTCACTTTTCTCACGCTCAGTATTAAGTTTGGTAGCAGTGAGAGCTGAAAATTTCCTAGGTATCTGTTCCTATTTTACTACTTCTATGCGTTGAGAGTACAGTTCTTTACAGATGTTGTTGACTTAACTGATCTGAAGAAATTGAGAACAATAATTGAAATTCCATACAAATTTTGAAGAGACTTTAAAATAATGAACTTAGATTTATCCTTTTGATCACATTCAAATGGATCTTTAACCCTTTCATTACCACGGATATATCCGTGCAGCGCAAAGCGCTTCCCCCGCGCCATGCACGGATATATCCGTGATTTGACCCTGCCGTGTTCATCTCATTCTAGCTGTTCTCTATATGAACCAAATTTAACATGTGAGTAGTGCTATCTATCGGGAAAAAGATGAACTACAACGCTGGCTTGTTTTTATGTTGATCCGCTAGATAGTGCGCGCACTGTATGACCGGGATAGTTTGATTTGCACGCAAGGAAATTTATACAAAATAGGTTCATGGTTAAGTCGTTGTTTTTCGATCGTAAATGATTATTTTGTGCATTTCTTTTCAAGTATGTTTATTCTACAACCTATCAAGATCATCTGTACAAAATTTCAAGTTGCTGGGATGAGCGGGGAACATATAACAGTAAGAATACTGAAACATCAATTACACAGCAAGGGCGCGGAAAAATAACCCGGTTTCTGGGGATGGGTCACCCGCTAGGTAACTTGGTAATGAAAAGGTTAAAGCTCCAAACTATGTACTCCATGGACACTTGATGATGGTTGAATAATACACAAACAAGGTTAGAACAAAAGTTTGTACCTTGTAAATCAAACAAGGAGTTTGTATCAGTGGCTCCAACAGTGGGTGCTTTGACGATTGGAAGTAGATAAGAACGGTAACCTTTCAGAATCATGGCCATGAATCTTAGAAACGCTTCTTGGATTTCTAATTCAAGACTCAGCTGGAAAAAAAAAAAAATAAAATTATTAAAATGGACCATTTATTAAAAGTGAGGTTTAATAACAGACTATGGTTGAGGAACTATTAGTTTTTGAAGGGTGAGATAGATTTGCAATGTTACAAGCTTGCTTTAAAACATACTAAATTCACTCTCTCTCTCTCTCTCTCTCTCTTAAGACGTAGAACTCTTTTTTGCCACTATCTTTATTTAAGCAACATCTAAATACTTAAGAGGAAGGCCAACTCTACAGAATACACTTTGGAAACTTGACCTAGAGATCTGAACAGTGATGCACGGATAAAGTCAACAATGGACAGCGCTAGTTACCTGCCTGTCCACTGAGTTTAGCTAGAGTGTTGTTACACACTGCTGGAGCGGTCTACTGACCCACTATCTTATCTACGAGTAAGCAAGCTCCTGAGTCTTGCTGAGTCTGCTGACTCATTTTTTTTATAAAAATTCACACGGCAGACAATACACATGGATGGACCAACATCATTTTGCTGACTTCCTTCTCAGAATTTGACAATGTTTCTTTGGTTAAAAAATTCAAGAATGACAAAACTACCTGGAGTCGTTCGTAGTTCTTACATTTATAACTTGGTGAAAAATGAACAGTAAAAAGTATAGAAAGGAATAACACAGGTGGATGGAGGCTGCATGAACACAGTGTTGTGAGTGATTCCTTGGGAAATCCTCCAAATATTGAGTTGTTGTACTCACCTCCTTACGTTTGGATTGAAAGTCTTTGTCGATACTATTTTCACTAACATTTTCATCAACATGGTATGTGCTGTTCTTGCGACCATACAACAAAGCACTAAGGTTCCTGTATGATTGTTCCAAGTTCGCTCGTAGTATTCTTGCAGACTTTTTTGGCAGAAGTTTGGAAGTTAGATACCTTCTGTCCTCGCATCTGTAGAAAAAAATTAGGTGGTTTTTTAAGAAGGGTTCATTTTGAATTCTCACTTTAAAGCTGCATTACTTATTATTTCTTTTTTAATTTTTCTTACACGACTGGCTTTTACTGGTATATTAATTTACACAGATTGAATGCTTTACGAGTGCTCTTGGCACCCTTTTCTGCTGTTTTACATTGCATGTAGATATTGTAATCAATCGATAGGTTGATTTTATTTTCTGTTGAAAGGACTATCACTCTACTCCAGCGGGTCGATTGTTGAATCGTTATCGAATGCTTCTGATCGATAAATCCCTATCTTAACAATGCTCTATATCGATCAAGGTCATTCGAAAACGATTCAACAATCAAGGAGCAGGGCATTTTTAGACATTTTTTACTGGCACAACAAGAAAAAAAACAAAAGCAAAGAGAGGCTGACTGGTTCACAGCCATTTCATTCCAAGTACAGCGAACTTGCTACTTGAGAATTTCCAAAAACATTAAAAATGACGTTGGCTAGCTAGTATCATTTAATCAGATATAAAAAAGTGATCCATTTAAGGTGGGTACTTACATTTTCAATTCTTCTTCAGTCAAATTAAAATTATTCCTTTCTGCTTGCCTCACTCCAGCTATAAAGTGATAATAATTTTGATCGACTGAAGTATGGTTTGAAAACAAAACTGTCTAGGTAATGATAAAAAATTGTGCCGGGGAAAAAATTAGTTCATACTTTGACCTGACATTAAATCCTTAAATCCTCCAGTCAATTTTCAAGACTTTCTTGTAGATAAAATTGTTTATTATATAAATAATAATGACTTACACTGTGACGGTATTGGTGTCCAAGTCAACGCAGTTAACATCTGGAGGTGGATCATACAAGTTGAAGAATCGAGAGTCAACTCCGATCAGAAAAGGAAGTGGTGCATGTAATACTTCAACCAAACTTAGAGGACAGAGCGGAATATACGGACACTGCCATTTGAAAGGGAAAATGATCATGGAAACAGCTTCAGCAACTGCTGTTAAAACGTCTGGACGGAGAGAATGAATGAGGAGCTTTTGTTCAGTTAAGGCACAGACGAGTACTAGCATACAGTTATCAGGTCCTAAGTTGAACAACAATTGACGGAAGCCAGCACCACTTCTTGGTAATGGCAGGTCTTCAGGCTGCGTCAGAATCAGTCTATCATGTGATGAGAGTTGAACCAGAATTCTTGGGCGATGAATTGAAGGGAATGGAACATCTTCAAGCAGATGAGTAATGTACCTCTCAATTGGGACTGAATGTGGCTCAGAATTTTTCACCATTCCGTGGAGAAATAGCAGAAATTTTTCGAACGTATCAAAAAATGGCCAATGGGACAGAAGGCAAATACACTTATTGACATGAAAAGTAACACTGGTCTTGGATTTTAAATTAAGTAGTTCTCGTTGTTCTTCGGTAACTTTATCTTCTGGATACTTTTCATAAAAAGTGATGGCAGAGCCATACACTTTATCTACTCCATCTGAGACCGTCAAGACAAACGTAGAAAAAACAGGGAGTGGTTCTTGAGCAGTTGTCGGCCACGCTTCAAGAGTTGCCCCCATAGGGAGGCAAAACAAAGGTACAGATGGTGGCAGCATGAAATAGCCTTGGTCTGTCTCTGGATAACGATCTACAATGCCTGGAGTATATGTTATTAGGTTGGTGCGATTCATTGACTTTTTGTAGCAAAGATAGACATCAGAACCTACAAGACCTTTGTTTAAATTCTTCTGAATGAGGTTGAAAGCATGAGGGGGATCTTCGCCTTTACTTGTAATGACAACACAAATATCAGTCACAACTAGTGCATTACAAGGCATTGTTGGCTGAGCTCGACGAAAGGTAACAAAAGTTCTGGCAGTTGAATTGTTTACATTAGCTACGTACCCTGTAGGGGTTTCCTTAACTATTTCTGAGTCTGCTAGGATTCTTTCTTTGCCATCGTACATAACACCAATATCAATCAAGGGTGGTTTGTCTCTTCCTCTTCGATAACATAAAAATACTTCTGGACTTCGTATACTTCCATGGTTTAGATCAGCAGACAACCCTGTGGGTGTAGTCTCGATCACCGTGAATCCATCAGGTACTGTTTCTCCAAGGCTCGGAAATATAACTGCTACGTCTGTGATGGGTGCCTGATTGTGGCTGGGTTTTAAGTGGGCTGTTGTTTCTTCATCTTTGAGAAGTTGACAGTCTTCTGGTAACCCCGCAACGACAAAATAATCGGCAACCCTCCTCTCTTCCATTGTAAACGGAGGGTTATGGACCCTGACACTTGGAAGATTGAGACAAGAATGTCAAACCTCTAATTAGAATTATTGGGCTCAGGGCCATGGTTTTATAATCACTGATGTATAAAAACTATCATTACTAATCACATTCTTTCTCTAGTGGTGTGATGCAACTATACAGGGACAAAAGATGGTAAAACTGAGGTGATATGCACACCCCTATTCACAAGCACGATTTGAGATCTTAAAACTTCGTTTGAGGATATGATTCACAGAAACTAGAGAGGAAATTCAATGGAGATAAGTTTAAAATATTCACTCTTACTTCCACTTTGACAGTGTCATTTCGCAATAAATCGCTTGGAGCCATGTTGACTGTTGAATTTGGAAAGGAAATAAGATGTTCAACAATACAGACAAAAATAGTTCTGCATTTCAAGGATTTGAAAAGGTCTCTCAATAATTTCACGGGTTAGGAGTAGGTCAAGTATGAAGAAATTCAGAATGTAGTCAATTTTCAATTGGAAAATTAGCAATTTGTGTCAATTACTTACGGAAATATACGATAACTCATATAAAAAATAGTGTAATTTGTTTGTGTTAAGTTTTTGTTTTGATTAGTGAACAGCTGATGATAAAAGGAATTTTTGGCTGTTTCCTGACGAACATACGGAATTTGGCAAGGAAAAAAATGTAAATAGTCCATTTCTGTGATAATGACGTGACTGCAATTTGTATAAAGAGCTCTACTTACAGATGGGAAAGCAAGTGATAAGAACAATTTTAGCTTAAATTTACTGTAATTATTAGTAATTATCCAGTTATCTAGTTGTGCACTCTACACACCTTCACCTGAGGTGCAAACATCAGTTTCTCATGATTTTTAGCTCTAATCCCAATGGTAACTATCTTTCTATCATGTGCATCTTGAGGTTATGGATTCTTTTCCCCAAATCTTTACGACTTCAAGATGCATTTTTTATTAACATTTATCGTAGATTCGCACTTCCCATTTTGTGGAATTTTCTCTCTTTTCACAGATGACTGATTCATCTATGAGGGTCCTTAATCCTCTCATAATAGTAGTAGATAGTGGTGTACCCTTTTCTATCAGTTTGAACTCATATCTTTTGCGTTTGCCACTGATAAAAACTCGGTCGAATCTGAAATGATGTTTCCCTCGGGTGTCTAAGCTTTCAAACTTCCTAACAATGTCCATTATTCAATGCAACACATTTTGCTATAAGATGACAGCAGTTAGCATACACTGTAATCTTGATATGGCCGAAGAATAATGTTTATCTCCTGTACATTTTGTGAGACAACGTATCGGTTTGATACCATTCTAGAATCAGTTAATTTTCTTGGTTAACTGCTCTTAATCAAAATGCTGAGCGGAAGCAAGATTAGTCCCCAGATTTGTCATTTCCATGGACGAATTTCAAGACCATACCACGAAGCGATGGTGGCTAACCAGAATGCAATGTATTTCTTACAGTTTCACTATAGTACGCGCCGATTTTTCATCACTTGAGCCACGGTTGGGCGTAGAAGTGACTTGGTGTGGACCTGTGTGGGTTCTGGAATTGGTCTTGGGTGCAAGGAGGACACCTCTTGGTTGCTTTTTTTAAGAGAGGAAATTGATTAATTCTTTGGAAAAACTTTGTTTAGAACAATGCAAAATCATAAAAGTAACCATTAAAAGCATCGATGAAATGCATGCTTTTTATAAAATGGATAACATTTTAGCGAAGATTTTAGGACACGGCACCAAGGGAGTGCCTTACTACCATTAAGACTGCAGAATCCTTTTATCCAACAATGTGTGCGAAGAGTTTCCTCTGAAAATTTCAAGTAGTGATTTTGATTCAGTTTCCCTTCAAAGAATGAAATAGGTGCAGAGATTCTGAAACACTGCAATTACGATAAGCATTTTTGCAGTTTCATAACCATCATGTGTCTACCTGGTGTCTACCACATAAGAGTAGCATGAATTATCAAGTGACTTAAAAACCAAATTGGCTGAAGACTGCCTCAGCCTCCAAGAAGCATCTCGCCATGTTCTTGAGGATGTCTATTATCGTTACTTAGCACTAATTCTCACCTTTTTAATATGGATTTTTTATATTTTCAGGAATTTAACTGGTTTTTAAGTCTCTCATTTTCCTGTCAAGGAAAAATGGTGGGGATTTCCTCCAACAGGGCCTGAGACTTGCACGGAACATGTCCAGGAAACTATCTCCTACCAACACTGTGGACTCACATTAAAAAATGTAAGCTTAGGGTGCTCCTTTAAAATTCAACAATTTCAGATCATATTTTATTTATTTTTTTTACTACTTCAAATAACACACAATTGATACTCCTTCACCTAAGAATTTAAAGAACTTTATTCTTTTCCCACTTTGTTAAAGAACTGATTGAATTAATCTTTTTCCAAAGGACTCGGAACATTAGAAATGAGAATTTAAAAAAAAAAAACCAGTAAAAACTGATGTAATTTACCTCTTCTATATCTTGGAGGGTAGAAAAATTTATTTGTAAAAAGATGAAAGTTTCAAATTGAATTTTAATTATAACTTTTGCTTCAGTAAAAAAAACAAGATCAATCTGCATTTATTGTGTAATCGTTCATCGTTTTATGAAGCGATTGCTTTCAAGTGCAGATAAGCTTGCAGTAATTTAGTGCATAACAGATAGCTGCCGCATTTGTAGTTTCAGCGAACTGATGATTATAGGTGATCAGCGCTTGAGGCTTGAGTTTTTTTGGGAATGATCCGATTTTTCAGATGCTTTTCTTGGGCCTTAAAAGTTTTTGCTTCTGCTCATCACTTTGCTACAGAACAAAATGGATCCATGCCTGAGCAATACCAAAATGTTAATAACTCAATTTTTAATTTTTTGACGCTTATGTCTTTTGGAGAGTGATGGATTCAATTGTCAAGAGTAGAATTTCAGACACAGTTTCAAAGTATCAAACTACCTTGTTTGTATTGTATAAATTAATAATTTTCTCTTTTTTCTCCTACAGAATCAGGATGAATTCCCCTATGAATGAGACCGGTGATTTGCCTGGTGCAAACGGTGGAATTCAGAATATGGAAGGCATGAATAAGGTAACTGAGTGTCTGGCAAGTGAAAATTGCAACCTCGCAATTCAATAATATAAAAATAAAGAGAGAGCAAAAAAAGAGAAAGAAAATCGGGCCAGAAGGGCGGTAATGGAGGTTCAATAAAAAAAAAAGAAAAGCGGGTGTAACTTAAAAAAATTATGAAAAAAATTAACTGAAAAAGAGAGTGAGGGGAGGAAACCTTGCAACGGATAACTATACAAATTATAGACTCGATTGGAGTTGGTACATGTTGTGCAGAAAAACGACGAAATTAAAAGAACAATTGAAAGAAACTTGACATAGGCGTTCCAGGTGAGCACGCTGGAATGTGAGAAATGAGTAGAAACAGAGTAAACGGATTGAATTGAAGAGGTGAGAGTGATGAGTGGTGATAGCCAGTTTCAGATTACAATATCGATAACAAATGGAGGAACTTGGTTCACATTTGGTGGGTCTGAATGGTAATGGACTTTGCCAATTGTATTAGAAATAACTCATAGCATGAGTGATAGGTAGACAATAATTGTAGATGCTTTTCTAGCTCCTATCAACCTTGTGTATTTGAGATAAAACAAGAGAAAACATGCATTTAAAATTTAAAGTATAAAGAATTGACAGGATTTTGCAAAAGATCAATTCAATTTCTTGTGTAGAAATGGAGTTAGAAAATTCTATGATCAGCATATTCACAACATGAAGATGAAATATTGGTAATTTTGAGTAATTTTAACTTGTATTTTATTTTTTCCCAAGGTGCCCGATGAAGAAATTTGTACGGATATGATAGCAGAAGATGAATATTCATCCTATGAAAACAAGGACATATCGGTTATGAATTCAACGCCACATAGCTTTAGTTTTCAAAGGTGAATATTTATTATCTCTCCATAACCATTAAATCGGGTGGTGGCAAGGAATTATTTCAGGGTTTCATAGTAGGTACTTCTTAACAGTGATAAAACCCAAAATCTCATTACAAAGTTAAAAAAATCATTTTTAAGGGGAGAAAAAGCTAATCAAAAGCCGATGGTCGAGTTGATGTAGTATGGCAATGCCTGAAGATGAGCTAAGCCAATCAGCAAACTCTGTTGCCCCAGCCTGGCTGTCATCAGTGCCTGTCAACAATATCGTTCACCATTTTGACATTTTTAGAACGGGGTTTCTTTGCCATCCAGGGTTAAAGAAAAAGTCCAAAAAAATTCCCAGAAGCTTGATTTGTTCTGTGCTTTCAAGAAGTGAAAGTAAAAATTGGATGCTACTGACCCATTGTAATGACATTTAAAAAATGCAAGCTACTTAGAAGGCAGCAAAATTGTTTAAAAGTAGATTCAAAGAAAACAATTTTGTCAAACTGGGTTGAACAACATGTTCCTTTATTGCAAGAATAAGTTGCGAGTTGTTTTGTTGATTTTTGTGCCCATAAAGGGTGTAAAGCTGCCTTTTGATTCAATACCCACAAGTCTTGAACTTAACATATTAAACATTTAAATATTTTCTTTTCAAAACTATGTTAACCAAGTCGTAAACTTCATAATTCCCCATAACGCTGGTTTGCTTGGACATTTTTGGTGTTTGAAAAGGTTGTTAAGTACTACTCCAAGCAATAATGCAAGCATCTCAGTTTGGTATTTTTCGTTGCTACGAGGTCTTTTCCTGTGGATGGTTGTAGCTTAAACCCTCAAGGAATAGTGTTCAATCTTGTGAAACATTAAAAAATGGATCAAACATAACACAGAAAAATTGGATTGCATTTTGCAAAAAGGAACCAAGAGCATTCCAATGTCGCTAAGATTGCGCAACTTGGTTCACCTTGCAAATATAAACTGATCATTTAAACAATATTCATCTTTACTGTCAATAAACTATAAATTCATGACGAAAATTACCATAGTTAATTCAATTGTTTGTGTGATTTCACTAATTGTATTGCAAAGAATGTCAATTGCACAATCCTAGCAACATTGGAATGCTCTTGGTTCCTTTTTGCAAAATGCAATCCAATTATGAGTCTGTTATTAAAAAAAGTTTAAAAAAGCATCTCTCATTCTAAGTTAGACCTGTTTTCAAGTGTCCCAAATATGTCTTGTTTTGTTATGTGACCTATAAATTTAAATTACATTTTTTCTCTTTTTTTAAAATATGTTTTTATTTCCGTCAGGGTGATGGATGAGTCTTGCTCCGAGATGAACAATGACTGGAGTCCAGTCATGCAACGCCTAAAGCTATTGGAGAGTCAGTTGGAAAGTAATGATGAAGTCTTGCATGAAATGGAACGCAGTCTGAAATCAAAGGTAAGTACCGTACCTTACTTCCTTGAACATTTATATTTGTGTCATCTTAAAGGGGAGGGGGAAGGACCATCGAAAATAATAATAATAGCCTGGATACTGTAACAGGATGGCAGAATAGTGTGGACACATGACTCTTCCTGTACAATTTATCTAATCTAACTACATTTAAACTGAATGAAAAATTTCAAACAGTGAGTTTTATTAAGGAAGCCTATTTTCACCAACAGAGAAAGTTCAGAGGAAAATTTTGAACAATTTTAAGAAACTTGAAAAATTGTGTCAATTTTTATTTGTGGATTCTTCTCTTTTTCTTTGCCCAATTTTTGCTTCACTCAAAACTTTAGTGTCCGTTCAATTTGTTTTTTTTTTTTTTTTTTTTTTTTAAAGTATGTAAATGTTCATTTAAAAAAATTGTTTACAAGATTTCCTTATTTTTAGACACCTAGCAATGAAGTTGAAGAGCCCATCGATGAAATTGATCACTTAAAGAAAACAATTAGTTCTCTTGAGCAGAAAGTTGCCAGTGCTGAAACAACCATTTACAGCTTAGAGGTATGTAATTTATCCTTAATTTTTTAGTTTCATTCATCCTCCTATTTTGTCATTTTTAATCCCACCATAGGTCATGTAACTCCTTCTCTTACATCAGAAGATTGCATGTCACAGTCTTATCTGGTAGAATTAAAGTGCTTATATATTAGTGAATCTAAAGTCATAAACATTAAAATAACAATAGGCATTTAGGATCTGAAGTCACTGAGTTTTGCCCCCAAGAATTGGTTTTATTTTTGAATTACAAAGATATCCAGTTATAAGGATACTATGGAACAGCATTTCTTTACTTGATATTTGTTACAAGAAAGGAAAATGATGTCAGTTTCTAAGAATGAAATCGTCTATTTTTCTAATAAGAAGAGCGAAGGAAAATAAAAAATAAATAAATAAAAATTTAAAAAAAACAAGAATAAATATTTTGTTACAATTAATTTTTTTTTGTGTGTCAACAGGAAGAAATCGAGGAAAAAAACAAACTCATAGAAGCCAGAACCATGGTTATTTCTGTTCTCCAAAAAGATGTTGAAGCTAAAAGAGTTTCGACTAACTCGATGTTTGAAAAAACTCAGCAGGAAATACAAAACATGCATGAAAATTTCATGGCTTTCAAAGAAAATATGGCGATCGAAAACAAAAAACTACTTGACCAGTTAGATAGTTCTAGACAAAGGTATGAGGTTTTCTTTTTTCATTTAAGAAAATTCCTGGCACCATTTGGTTTGCAATATCATTATCTACAATCAATTAAACCAATACTGCAGTTCGTCATTTCCCACACAAAGGAGCATACTTATTGCAACAGCGCTGTTTCAGAACTTATCTCTTACTGAAATTTTATTTTTTCATAGAAGAAGCATTGCAGGTGTTTTCTGAAATTTTCAAACTAATTCAGACATTGGACTCCCATGGAAAAATAAAATGTTCATAGAAATACTAAAGTAGCGCAGATGAGATATGCTCCTTCGTGCAAAAGACGACAAGTTATATTCACTTTTTTGTGTCAATTCTTTTTATTATTTTTCCAAGTCTCACTAAAACGTTACAATGGTAAAAAAAATGTAAAAAATCATAGATAAATGTGTATCCATGGACAGTTCTCAAATATAAATAATCAATTTAAGTTTTTGAACTTCATCTCAAACCCAGAAGGCTGGATTTGGATCTTGGCTGGGATGGTTAAGGAATTTGATTGTGTCAGACTCATCTTTTTAGATTTGACAAGAATATCTCCTCTCTTTTTTCTTTTTTTACATTTTTTTAAAACTATTTTGAATATCTAGGTAACAGCAATCAAAAAGGGAAAGAAAAAGAAAATTCCCCATGCGGAGATCACAACACACATCAGACGTGGGCACCTGACTATTCATTTATTTACAGTTCATCCTGTTCATAAAAGTGCCCAAAGAGCCAACAAGTTTTAATGGACTGTCCCTGATTATTTCAAAAGAAAGTTCAATAGTCAAACTATTAGTTTTGGAAACAAAATTCATTGTTGTTTTATATCCTAGTTTTTATCTTTTGCAGGTATCGTAAGTTGGATTTGAAACTCAAAGAAGCAGAGAAAGAAAAAGGCAGTTTAGTTCAATTGAACAATGACCTAAATTTTCAAATTGAAAATATAATGTCGTTGAACAATCAGCTAAAGATGAAAGTAGTTGAATTGACCGAAAACATTGATAGCCCCAAACAGAAAATCAGGGAGCTCACGGATGAACTCGAGAGTGTGAAGCAGGAGTTCCAAAAAACTGTCCTGAATTTAGAGCTTGAGATCGCTCATTACAAAGGGGTAAGTTGTATGTCCTTTTCAATATGAATCCTAGATAGAGGGACTATTCACATCCATTTCTCTCAATCAAGTGTTTCCCATTAGTCATGACATTTAAATGGAAGCCAAAATAGAAAATCAAGAAGCTTCACTGTTCCTTGACAGAACCAAATAGTTTCAAAGCATCAGCAAGCATTAATGCATACCATAAAATCACATAGGAGTACAGAAATTTCTAGTGGTTATTAATATTAATAAACTAAGAAATCATGTATATTTGTTTGAGTTGGCTCAAATTGTATGTCATATTATACTTATCGGTTAATCCTAAAGATGAATGAACCATTCATTGTTATTTCACAAACTTTTGTGTGATTTTTTTTTCTGCCCTTCAGAAAATACCCTCTTGAAATTTTGCATGAGAATACCTGGTAATACTTAGTCTCTTTAAATATTTGAAAATGAGGAAAAATGGTGAAAAAATACTATTAATATTCGAAATTTGCTTTTTAATACTTTTTCTAAGGTATTTAAAGCATTAAGAGGGACTGGCGTAGTCAAAAATATGTAGTACATTTCATATTTTAAAAGTGCATTTTTATGTATGTATAATATTTTCCATTTCCAATAAGAAAATTACTGAAATGAACTTGCAGTATGGTTTTCATTTTCCATATAATGTTTGTTTCTGCTCCATGGCTCACGCTACCTTTTCTTTCTCTTTACAGGAATGTGAAAAAGTGAAGAAAAGTTTCCAAGAAAATCAGCAACTATTGGAGGGAGAGGTAGCTCAGTTGAAAGAAGAAAACAACAGTATGGCAACGAAAATTTCAAATTTCGAATCGGAAATCGCTCTCCTTGAGGATGGGAAGAAACAGAAGGAAGCCACACTCTTGGCTCTGATAGAAGAGAAAGAGACTTTAATCTCTGATTTGAAGCAGACAATTGAACACTCTCATTCTGAACGCGACGAACTTCTGAGCCGCTTAAGTGAGGCGCAAACCAGCCTGAAAGCAAACGAGTCAAATTATGAGCAAATTTTGGCGGAAGTAGTGGAGCTTCGATCAGCTCTGGATGCAGTGAGACTCAATGGCAGCAGTGAGGAAGTGGCTTGCTCCTTAAACAACGAAATCAATGTTCTCCAAGATCAACTGTGTGGAAGTAAAAATGAGCTGGAACAAGAGAAACACCGCGTCCAGATGCTAACTGAGACAATAGATGAACTGGAGGAGAAGATTCAGGACTCAGACCTGTTACTGTTGGAGGAGAAACAGAATACTATCAACATCAAGAAAGAACTCGACCACTTAAAGCAGCAACTTGCAGAAAAAGAGGAAGAGTTAGTCCGTGAGAAAGGAAGTGCAATGCAGTTGCAGGAGAATTTCTATCATGTACTAAATGAATTGGAGCAATACAAGCAACACTATAACCAAAACAGCTCTGAATCACTAGAAATCCAGCAAAAGTTGGATTCAGCCGAAGAAGAAAAAGCAAGACTTGAAACTGTAATCAGCAGTCTGCTCAGAGATGTCATCAGTATGACAGCCAAGTCCACTGAAACTGAAATCAATTTTGAAAAGGAAAATCACCTCTATGTAATTCTTCAAGAGAAATTCACCGAATTATCATCCACGTTCCTGCAGACTACTGCGGACTTAAAGCAGAAAGAAGACATAATTGCCAACTTGGAAGCTGAAGTGAAGCATCTCCTGAAGGACAAGGAAGAAGCTATTTCCAACTTGCAAACCGAGCAGGACAATATTTTACAGAGTAAGGAGGATGCCATCGCCTCGTTGCAAAAAGAGATTGAAAGTTTGAAACAAAACGATGAAGAGCGAATCTCTCTTCGAGATATGGAGGCATATATCTCGCAGCAAGATGAGATGATTAAGGAACTCAGAGGAAAAGTGCAGACTGAAATGGAAGAAGCCAACCGTTTGGCGGCAACATGTAAAGACCTAGAGCAAAGATTGAACTCCTACGCGGAATATACTTCAAATGAGATAGCGAATAGAGATAGTATGATACAAAATCTTCAGATGTCATTGGAGCTTAAGAGAGGTGAGCAAGACCCATCCATGGAGCTTCAGCAGCTTCAGGCGAGGGCAAGTTATCTGGAACAGACGCTAATGGAGGTGAATTCAAATTTGAATGAACGGAGTATGAGGCTCCAAGAAGTCGAGAGTGAAAATGAGAAGCTCAAAGCAAAAGTGGCGGAAATATCCGTGGAGGAATTGATGGAGCTACGGAAAACATTGAGCGAAAATGAAAGCAGACTTGCAGAGAAAATTAAATCTCTTGATGAACTATCTGGTCAGCATAACGAGTTGCTTGCAAAGTTTAATGAAATTTCAAATTATGTATCAGCTGCAGACGCCGAATTGATTAATAAGGATCATGCTATAAGGAAACTTGAGGGGCAAATCGAAGATCTTCAAAATTCAAAAGAAATCCAGATCGAAGAGTTACAGGCATCATTGAATGATTTGAAAGAAGGGATGTTTAAAGTGCAAGCCGAACGTGATTCAGCTCAGAGTCAGTATGCAGAAGTTCAGCAGACTCTTCAATTCAAGTTGGAACTATGTGATAAACTTAAAATGGAAGTTGAAAACCTCTCTGCCGAAAGGGACAAATTGTCTAGTTATGAATCAGAATGTGCAATGTTCTCTCGCCAGCTGAAAGATATAGAAATTTCCAAATCACAACGACATGCAGAGGTTGAAGAGGAATTATTGCAAGCTACAAATATTACGCAGCAGCTTACAGATGAAAATAACAAACTCTTAAATCAAGTCATTCAGCTTAGCGATGATATCAAATACAACCAAGTCGAAAAAATTGCATTAACAGATGAACTTAGTACTTTGAGAAAGTCACTCCAAAGCCTTAAAGATGAAAATATGGCGCTCAAAGATGAGGCGATGTTGACTTCTGGTCTTCAAGAGCAAATAACAAGTTTAGAACAGCTTATCAATGAAAAAGAGCAACTAATCTCCGAAATGCAATGCAAGCTAAGTGCAAGTGAAGAGTGTGTGAGAGAGCAAATAAAACCTGTTGAGGAGGTATCACCGAAGAATTCCATCCCTGGCTCTTTTGACAGTAATGAAATAAACGGAACCCTCCTACCTCTGGCACAAGAGTACCTTCAAATTAATTACGAACTTTTGATTTTAAAAGATCTCTTGGAAGATTTAATAGACAGCGAAATCGGTAAAGAATGCTCTGATTCAAACCTGAAAATAGTTTTAGAAAACCTTGAAAGTGACCTGCTAAGTTCAGAAGCAGTTCTGAAAGGCTTTGAGTCTAAGCTGCGTAGATCCCCTGGCTTTAGTAGTGATACTTTAGAATCATCTGTGGCTTCTTTGAAATTGTATGTTGATCAGATAACAAAACAAATAGCAACCTGTGGGGAGGTCCTAAAGGACTTGGTCGTAGTGAAAAATCCTTCTACTAAAACTTCATTCGATGTTGAAGTACAGACAGAGGAAGTGATGCAGCCCAAGCTGCCATCACCATTGATCTCGGAGAATCTTGAAAATTGGGATTGGGAGGTTGAAATCAACGATAGTGAAATTAAGCTCGATGAAAATTCAACATCTATCCAGAGTGATAGTCCATTGCATGGAGAGCTGAAATCGACAAAGAATGAAGAGGCTAATTTCACCACCAATACATACACAAATGATGGAGTTCTTCCTGCTGTAAATAATTTAGGATTAACTGAAATACCTTCTTCCAGACATGATGCAACAAACCTAGGAGTCTCTCATATCCACACCGTGGATTCGAGTGATATTGAATTTCAGCCTTCAAATTGGGAAGATCATGAACCACTAGATAGGCTCACAGTCATGGAAGAACCCGGAAATTCCAACACAGCCAATTCTTATAATCATGATACTCACCATGACTCTCATAACCATCATGATCATTCCCACTACCATGACCATAGTCATGAACACAGGCACGAAAGTGAACATGAACATGTTCATGACCACGAGCATGAACACAATGATCATTTTTGTGGATCTCAGGAACATAGTCACCAGTCTACAAAAGTTTCTCAGGAAACTGAGGCAACAAATAAAGAATCTGAACCGGCTGAAGGCTCTCAGGAAGATGAAGAGGATGAACCATATGTCGGAGGATACCTGCAGGACAATCAGCTGATTGTCGTCAACAAGGCCTCCTACGAAGATATGAAAGTCAAGCTCGATTCTATTTTGTACAAACTTCATGAAAAGGATGTTCAGAATAATGAGTTTAAACGAGAGTTAATTGAGGTAAGTTTCAATGTGTTGATCAGCATTATTTTGGGTGGGATGACGGTTCTTATTCCACAGGCATACCGCCTAATGAGTCTCCAAACCTTGTTCAAAGAAAAGAGCAAATATTAGGAACAATGGATAGGAAGAGGTCTATGACCCTTGTGCCAAATATCTTACAAAAGGACTGGTCCCTCCTATATCAACTTTAAATAGTACAATGTGGCACTGGTAATAAACCAATGCATTACAAAAGTCATTTTAAAGTTTTAGCTCAGGTAGTAAAGTAGAATTTAAGCTCACACGTTTCACTTGGAAGGGGTTTTCGAATTTTTCAGTTTGCGGCAAGTGAAAATGTTGTAGTTGCTAGGTGCTGTGTTACAGACATGTAATTTCTCCCTTTGTAATTTTATTTTTCATAATATCTATGTGAAGGGAGTGAAATTTTTCGTCTTTAGTGAACCTTTATTCTAATGATTTAACTTAATTTTCGATCTGAAAGCAAGATTGATCAAGTGAGGTTGGGGAGAGGTACACATTTTCTCAAAAGGCAAACTAATTTTGTATTTATCATTTTCTTGTTGCACAGTAGTTTTGTTAATACATTTTCTGCCTTCTTCTCGTTGGGAGTTGTAGCTGCAGATGATTTGGCTTGTTTAATGCACCAAAAGTCTTACATTTTTTTAAAATCTGCTCTCAAGTGTACAAGTGCCAAGCAAGTGAGAAATGTTTGGGAATATTTTCTTCCTTGAATTTAAAATTTGATTAAAAATTGCCTGTTATTTTTCATAATGGACTTTCAAAAAATTGGTGCTATGTCCCTTAAAAAAAATCATATTTTTTATCATCTTTTTACAGTTATTAAAGGAAAGGGATATTCTGCAACTGAAATTGTCATCAGCATATCGCCTCCTTGCAAATCAAGAAAAGGAGACGACTGACACAAATGGATCTTCAAACTCAATTAAAAATGAAGAGCTAATTTCAAAGTAAGTAATAATAAAAATAAGAAGTTCTTGAAATCAAAATTTAATATAATGATTTTCCTTTTTTATTTAAGCAATGGTTATTAATAAAAAAAAAGAAAGTGAATGAATGAAGAATAGAAGTGAAAAATAGTAGTTATAAATGTATACAAAATTAGCCCCTAGCTGTACATTCTGTTCAGCTTAAGACATAGAGCCGCTCAAGACTCCCTTAGTCTGATAGTAAGATTCATATTTTATCAAGGGAAACCCCGGAACCTCTCTCTACTGGGTAGATTCCTCATTAAACCTCCCTTTTACGAAGAGGTGCATTTTATAGGGGCCCTCACCGCTGACTACACCTGTAGACTCAAAAATCCTAAATCTAGCCCAGCGGCGTGGCGTGAATTGCGATTTATCGATTGTTATGCCATTTAAATCTATGGTAAAGATTCGATTATGACGGTGTTCGCTGCGAACACCCTGTTTATCGATCCTTTTCCATAGGTTTAATGGCATAACAATCGATATATCGCAAAGCACGCCATGCCTCTGATCTAGCCCTGAGTGTTACTAAGTATTGAAAATGATATTATCACTTCTTTGACTCAGATTTACTGGTTGGAATTCCTGTTCATTTTTTGTTCTGTAATTTGACCAACTTTTCCCCCTAATATAACCAATAACTTTATTAACTTTTGTGAAATAAACTTGGTAAAACTCTTTAGAACAAGTTGATAGCCAAATGGTAAAATTACAAGAGCCTCCTGTTAAATAATACCACCGGAAAGATAGTAACCATAGTGAGTTTTTTTTTCTGAGTAGTTTTATGAAACATTAGTATGTATTAACTTTTAATGTTTGATAAATCTTTTTTTTCTAAAGTTGTAGTTTGTTGGTTCGGTTCATTAATTTTGATGGTTTTTTTACAGGATTAATGAGCTTGATTCTCTGAGTGCATGGCATGATCCAAGGGTGACCACTGAGAATGACCAAAAGAATATGCAAGCATTATACTCTAGTCAAGCTTTGCCTGCCAATCTTAGACCGCAAAAAGAAACTGATTTATCAGAAGCAGGTAAAGCACCTTTGCTATTTATTTGGCAGCATTATCAAAGTTCGATGAAATTTTTTTCTTTCTTTCTTTCTGTTTTATATTAACAGTGAAATTGCAGAAGTGTATATATTGGTTTCCAGTGTTGCAAACTTTTTGTCATACTTTATTTTCTAAATAGTTAGTTACTTGATGTCATTTCTCGAAAACTCGAGTGATTTTTCTTCTCTGCGTGAAGAATATCCTGTGAAAATTTAAAGCCATGACGTTGGTTTGACCTCTTTTTAAAATATAAAATAGGAATGGAGGTTTTAAAACGCTGCAATCAAGATAATTGCCGCATTTTCACCGTCAATATTTTAGTGGTAGAACTACCAAACCACGGATCTTGTTTGCGGTTTTGAAAATTCCCGGTTTACCGGTCTGCAAAATTAGTAATGGATTTTTGAATTTTTTCTCCCAGATTCGGAAAGTGCAATTTATAGTCTCTTCAATTGGATCACTGGAAGTCGGTGAGGAGGAACAATATTCTTCCCTCTTGTTAAGAATTTTCCCAGTACGGTGGCAACCACTAAATGCGTTGTTCGAATCATTGAATTAAAACGTATGACTCTATCTTCATGGCCGTAATGTTCCTCTCATCAAATGCGTCAGGATTCAAGCCCCTCGTACAATTTGACTTGTTGGCGGGAAAACTTCGTGAAACAATTTTGGTGGTGGAAAATCATGAAGTCCAACGGAGTAATGGGCACATTTTCAAGCCAAAGCTGTTTTCTCCAACAAGCCTTTTCTCAGCCAGCTCAAACGAGCTGATACTGTGAATATCAAAGGCAAAGCAACCAAATAGACTAATGAATGGTGCTTACAATGCTTTGTGGCAATGTGATGTGGAGCTCACCGCAGTTCCGACAGAGCTGGCTGTTCTTGAAAACAGCAGCCTCATCAGAGTGTATCATTATTTTATTGTAAGGCGGACCAACAAGAATTTGTTCGAACACAACAGTTGACCTTATGCAAAGACCTGCAAGACTCTTTATTCCTTTTTGCACAAATTATTTGCTCTGTATGGCAGATTTTACGAGCAATAATATTTTATAGTTCTCCTGTTCAATCTTATGTCAATTGATGCTTTTCTTCAAAAAGCTTCTCATGAAACCCTTTTGCTCTTCAGTCGGACAATGATTCCAAGTGATAAGACAATTCCAAATTTACTGATAGAGATTTCTCTCTTTTGCCTTTTATGGAGGTATCTACACTTGCCATTTGCCAAGAGGAAAAAAATTGTTGCTTGTTAAGTTTTAGTGTAAAAACACTCCGCACATTATCATAGCTCGTTTTTTTACTCTATTTTTATTTTTTACTTAAGAGTCTGTGACCTCATCCACAAATTAACTTTTACAAATTCAATACGTAATATTTAGAATTAGTCTTTCCTTGAAAAATCGAGGATGATGTCTCCTCTCTGGATTGGCACAAAGCTGGGCTTGGCCTTACCAAACGGTGGTAGTTAAATCTATTCATCTCAGGGAGCATGAGCACCTTTCTTGATCAACTATTTCTAACCAAAATAATAGAGTTACTAGTATGGTAAATGGGAAATTCTCAAGCATCAATGGCTTCTGTCAATAATGCAGCAAAGTTGATCAATTTGTACTGGTTTGGTAGATCTTTTTTTGGATGAGGTTGCGGTTTTGTAAATGATAGGAAGCAATATTGTTGAAAATGATGATAGGTCTGTTTTCACCTTAGCTGACATTATCATCTGTTGTTTTTTTAGAATAATAATCTATACCTGTTAAAAGCAGAGATAATGCCAAATATTTGTACATTTTTGTAAAATTGTGTTATTTTAAATAAAATTTTATCTTGCAAAAAAAAGTCGAACTTCTCATTATGATACCAAAAGTTTTTGTACGGAATCTATCCACTCTCACTGACATTTTCTGGCAGTTGATGCCTACAAGAAATTGTCTGCCCCAACAATGAAACTGAATAAATTATTCTGACTTCCTTAAAATTAATTGCCACTTTCATCTGATCTAGCAGCAAGTCGTTTAAGTTTTTCATTTTGCTTGTCTATTAATTTAGTGTTGCTTTTCCTCAAAATGTGAAACAAGGTCTGCTCAAGTTACTTCGTTGGGACATTTAACTTTGCCAGAAAATCCAGTTTATCTAAGCCTAGATATGTCAAAAAAGATATAACTCTTCAGAGACATGCTCCAATTTTACGAATGAAAGACTCTTTGTTTGATGTAATTAGGTTTTTAAAGCTTAAGTGCATATCCATCGCTACACTTAAACGGATGAAAAATACATTAAAAAAGGATGTATTATGTTAACAGTTTCATAGACATTTATTTCTGAAACAAAATCAAAACAAATTTTTTCATCACAAATAAGAAAGTTTAACAACAGGTCAATGTTTTCAAAAATAAATAGTATAGTTTATACAATTTACACTGTACAGAGGCAAATGCCAGTATAATTTACCTTTTCAAGGTCCTAACACTTTAAATACACATTACCGCTTGGGCACATCTTTTCCAGCTATCTCCAGTTGAAACTTACATCTATAACACAGTGCTTGAACTTGACGATTACATTATTAACAACTGTTCTATAAACATTGTATTTTTTCCAGAGGAATAAGTTAATAGTGAATATTTCACTTACTTATTATTTTATTTTTGTTTGCACTTACTGGGCAGAGGAAATTCTGATAACTTATTATTGAAAAGTAGGATTTCTTTCAGAAGCATCAGAATTTCTTTAGAAATGATCGAAAAATTTATAATTTGAACACTGAAAAAAGACAAAAAATAAACCTTGCTTTTTCCAAAACGTAAGCCTTGTTTGAGCTTAACATTTGGTCCGTTGCAGTAAAATTTAACTTATACTAAACGACATTCTAGATTTTTTGGGGAACCTAGCTCAAAACAACAAATCTTTGTCCAAAAAATGTAGTACCAAGTCATTCAGCGAAATGACTCCCTGCAAACCCACAGATCTGAAAGAGGGGAGGTACCTTTTTCAATTATTACTTGTAGACAGTAACATGATATCTAACAAAAAGTATATCACTTTATCTCAAGAGAGATTATATAATGAAATAATTCAAGGAATAAAGTTTTAATTAAATAAAGAGGAAGTTTTGAATATAAACAAATAATTTTTCACAGTATCATAAACTGAAGATACCCTTATTTTGATGAGTTTGTTTTTCATATCTGCTTGCAAATACACAGTTATGAGGTTCATGCAAGCAAAGTAGAAAGGTAAACGTACCTGAAATGGGACTCATGTTTTTTTTTTTTATCTTTTGTCCCCAACCTCATTTTTTAAATTTTTTTTTTTTAGAAAATTCCTTGAAATGTTGCAGCAGGCATGACTAATTTTATATTCAAATATTTGTCAATTATTTGTCAATTATCTTCCTCCTTTCTACTTAAAAATAAGAAAATGAGGGAAAATCGAACTTCGGAAAAAAGTACAGGAAGTAAATTCAAAAGAAACCAAAAACTCAAAATCCAGATTTGTTGAGACTACTGGTTCAACTGAAAAAGTANTTCACAGTATGATAAACTGAAGATACCCTTATTTTGATGAGTTTGTTTTTCATATCTGCTTGCAAATACACCAGTTATGAGGTTCATACAAGCAAATTAGAAAGGTAAACGTACCTGAAATGGGACTCATGATTTTTTCTATCTTTTGTCCCCAACCTCATTTTTTAAATTTTTTTTTTTTAGAAAATTCCTTGAAATGTTGCAGCAGGCATGACTAATTTTATATTCAAATATTTGTCAATTATTTGTCAATTATCTTCCTCCTTTCTACTTAAAAATAAGAAAATGAGGGAAAATCGAACTTCGGAAAAAAGTACAGGAAGTAAATTCAAAAGAAACCAAAAACTCAAAATCCAGATTTGTTGAGACTACTGGTTCAACTGAAAAAGTAGCTGACTACTGAGTTGAAAGTTGCTTAAAGTAATATCACGGTTTTGTTCGTTAACAATCAGATTTTAGAAATTGAAAAACCACTAAACTTAGGGTCAGCTGAAAGTTGGTCACTCGAGCTTCATATGTCTAGCTGAGAGCAGATAAATAACGCGTACGTACCATTCATCAGGTTGTTAGTGAGCTTAAGACTGCAAAGATTCCCTGCTCTTTTAATCATTTTTTTTTTTTTGTCATGAAGTAAGTAATGACAAATAGATATGCTCTAACTAAAAATTCAAACTAAAGTCTCCAAAATTTTCTACTCAAATACTTTCATTTCATTTTTTTCACAGCCAAACTTACCTACAAGTTTATACAATATTATATTCAAAAGGAGAAGGGTAACTTCAAAGGCATTTGTTCTCAATAGATTATGATGGACTCGGCGAATTAATTCCGGGGGAAGTTCCAAAATTCAAAATGAATTCCCAGAGTTTGTAGCACTGAATTTATGTGAAGCATTTACGCAAGAATGTTGATATGCAACCAAAGAAAAAAGGAGATAAATATTCAAGATAAACATTTTAAAAAGAGTGATTTGAGAGCACAATATAGCTTCTTGGATGAATTGAAAAGAGATTGCAAAAGTGGTTTAGGGGCTCATTTAAAATATTCTTGATAGATAACTACCTTTACGGAGAGATATCTGTGAAACTAACAACCAAGCAAGTCTGAGAGATTTTCCAAAGTCTTACAAACCTTACATTTTTTTATAGTTTTCTACATTGGCAATAGGTAGTTTAGTTGTGGTTAGGGTGGGTCTCCCATATCTCCTTTTGGCCTCATCAAAGAAGGCACTTTCCATTTGTCTAACAAGTTCATTGAAAAACATGTGTGCTAGTTGGGAGTGAATGAGGGATTTGAACTCAAAAGCAACAGAGAAGTCGATTACACAGGATTTCTTATTTTCTAGTCCCGGACTGAATTTCCAGCTGGTAGTTAGGAAGTCAAATAATTTACCATCAACACATTCCGCTTTAATTAGATTCGGTTTGACGAGAGTTACATTGGATGTGTAGCTTTCCACCACAGGAGGGAATCCGATTTCTAGCTTGCCACGCAGGAAATTATCCCTCTTCAAGGTGACGTCGGATCTTTTACAGAAAGGAACAAAGTTCCTGTAGTTTTCAACATCTGAGACCACATCAAACATTTCTTCCATGGAGAAACTGAAAACAGAGATAAAAACAACTGAACCTAGATTTAAAATGCAAAAGCTACCCTTCAATGGGCTTGTAGAAAACTTCAGCAAGAGCTGTAAGTAAGAATTGCTTCATATTGAAAGTGGCTTGAGAATGATGATGAGCACTCAGAGAAACTGAAAATTCACTCCTCAGGGTTGCCACAGAATTTGGAAAATGAAATTCCCTGACAATTGAAGATATGGCAGATGGTTAGAAGATATAATTGAAAATAGGTTTCAGGCATAATTTGTAGCTCGAAACTTCAAACCCATTTAAGAAAGCAAATAAAGAAGATTTAACAAATTTTTCCTAACATTCTTGTCACTTTCCATGACATTTCCCAGTTTTCCATGACTTTTTAAAATTCCCTGACATTTCCCCGTTTTCCCTGACTGTGGCAACTCTGAAACCTTACCTTATGATCAGTGAGAGAAATATACGTACTTCTGAACTTCCAAAACGCATAAAACATGAAGACATGACTTGATTTGCATAAAATCACCTCAGTTTCACGACTTCAGGTGAAACTCAAGATGGGTCGACTACGCGACAGTTTTTTCATTAAATGAAACTACATAGCAAACACCTTTTGATCAACTCTTACTATTATATGCTCAATGCGCTTACTACTTTCTCGTTGCAAGTTGCATTTAATGAGGAGAAAAAAATTTTTAGTTTGCAAGGAACTGCATCAAATGACAGGATCCATTTTGAGTTTCGTGCAGAATTATGAAACGAGGTATCTGTAGTTATGTATGGAATATATAATAAATTATACTTTTGCCAATCTATATTAAATTACATCTTTGCCTTAGTATACTTTCTGAAAGAGAAATCTTACAATTACCCAAATATCCCAAATGGTATACCCAAACAGTGGAGTGAATTTCAGCCAATACACACACCATGATTTTTTTGAGGAAATACAAACATAACTCATTCCTCCTCAGTCAACTGAGATTTGACTGGTATTACAGATAAGGATGTTAAAAAATCATCCATGAATTACATAACTTTCTCAAAAGCAGAGAAAGTCTGGGCTTGTGTGACAGTCGAAGGGGGACATGGTGCAGCACTGCATTATTTCAAACTTTATATAATTTTCCTTTTCGCATTCAAGTTTAAATTTAATTTGTGCCTTGAGCTTCTAGGTGGTTTTCTAACTTAATATGAGTTATTCTTGAAATCTCGAAAATTTTACTGAAGTTTTTCATTTGTGAAACCTGATCCATGATGAAACCATGATCACATGTTATCCCCACTTCTATTAGAAAAATAGCTCCCCGACTCTACATATGATCAAAACTTACCCGACCAATTTCCTTCCATTGTAATCTTTTCTTCTACTTATTTTCGAGCCAGGAAAACTGAAGAAATCTCGATGATGCGTGAGTTTAGGGTCAGCTAAGCAAGCATTTGAGAAATGTGCTTGATGAAGATGATCGTACGAGTTTGATAGGGACCATAGTGATACAGACCGCCTGTTCAGGAAATACAAGAATATAAACATCAGAAAAAAGTACAACCTTGGCCTTGGAGTTAAGGTACAATAAATCTAATACTTGCTCAATATTTATTATTGATGTTGAACAGTAAAGATACAATACTGTATACAAAGATACAGCCTTGGATTATAAGATATAACATTACCCACATGTCTTGGCACAATTAGACAGTTTCTTGCAAAAGAGGTCTATCTGCAATGCAAATTTTAAATAGATAGACTTCTTTTTAACAAATGAGTCCAATCAAGAATTTCAATTACTTGGAACACAAGGCGAAGTAAGTCAAATGACATGCAACCCTTCAACAAAATTTCATTGCAAAGACAGAGATTTTAAACTACCTACATTTAACCTTCTACAGCAGTCATCTCTATCTGCTTTTCTTCAAGTCTATAAATGTAAGTAGTCTACTTGCATTTTGATGCAATCATTCGCTCTATTTTATTACTTTGTTTGTCTAGCAAGAAGAGGGCAGATGCAATTCAGTGCAGTCATAGATTTCATCAAACAACCCTATAATACAACTTTTGAGCCACACTTCACTGCAGCTTGAACCACAACTAAATAAGTAAGTTTGGTGACTTAGAAATAAGTCAAGATCAAACCCAAAGTAATCACAGCAAAAGATTGGGGGAGTTTTAAAAATGGGAGGGCCAATTAGAAAAATAGAAAGGCTACGAACTTCCTGTATTTCTTACCCAACCTTTTATACGGATAGAGTTTGAATTAGAATTAGATAGATTAGATTTAGAACGTTAGTTAAGCTCATGTTGAGTCTCTCATAATGGGTCCGAGGCAGTTGATATTGATGTGTTAGCTAAACATTAAAATTTTAGGCTAAAAAGTTGGAAGGTACTAATTGAGTATCTTGAGAGAAGACTTCTAAACTAGTGTTTGTTGATCTTTTGAAAATAAGGAATAATAGTAAGTTCAGATGTTAGGAAAGCTTGATGTAGTTGAGTGAGTTGGACTTCGATCCAAGTTCCTCATTTTTCTGCCAGGTTGGCATTGATGAGTTGAGGAAAGCAATGGGTTGATTTCATATTAATACTAGAGACTTCGTTAAAAAAAAAAGCTGCTGTATTAAAGGAAGCAGAAAATCAGAGACTATAAATGCCTAGACTTCGAAGAATTGAATTGAATCTAAATAGACATATGGTTCTGCAAGATAGGTAATTCAATAGTTTACACAATTGGAGAAATAAACGTAATAATGGGGCTAGTGTAGATAAAGCTGCCAAATGGGTTGTTAATCTCTGGACTCAAAACAGGGATATCATGCTTAGGTCCATGGATCAACTATGGCAATACAATTTCCTTGAATACCTGCTTGACTAACATTACTCTATTTCAATCCTTGTTTCAGTAGAATGTAAGATCCAGTGCTGAGGTTGCATTTGACAAAATACAGTTATATTGAGATAATTGTGTTGGCGCTTGACGGAAATACGCATAGTGATAAATAACTTGTCATGGAGAAAATTTTGAAAAAGGAATTAATCAAAGTCCATTTGGAGGAAGTGTGCATTAGAATCAAGAGCTCTTTAAGCCTCAGAGCCATCAGATACTTGCTCGGTGGTCAGATTTCGCAAATGCCAGTAACAAAAGGCCACATCTTTGTCTTGCGGAAACATCACTGACAAATGTCCGTAGTTCTCTTATCAGAGCCACAACATACTTGACAAGGGGTAATGGTAATTCGCAAAAATGTGCGAGTCCGACGTCTAACACCTAATATTGGTTTGAATCAAAGTTCCTTCAGTGAGGACGGTGAGAAAACTTTAAAAAAGGGGTAAAAAATTTGAAGTTTTAAAAGCTGATGCAACAATTCAAGTTCAAAAGAGCTGTTAAATTTCAGCATATTTGTGATTTGGTACAAGGTTTCTAGGTTAACCCATGTAGATCAAGGTTACGTTATTCAAGGTTAAACTCAAATTTTAAAGGTCTTAGTTAAAAAAATGAATTGAATAACTGAAGTGTCAAATAAAATTTAATCACCTGAGAGGTCTGAAGCAATTTTCGTCGAAGTTTTTGTTTAAAGATCTGCGACTGAGCGACAAAATCGTGTGACGGCATGCCATTGAAAACAAACCAAACAAACTGAATGACAATGACAATTGACAGCCAGTGATGTGTAACTGACAGCAACTTTTCCCCTAGCTGTACTTCCTGATTCGTCAGAAATGTTGGAACTAGTTGCAGTATTGGTTGCAGTTGTTGGCTACATTGAATTTGGAACCTTTCTCTGTTTGGATCCTAGTGTTGGAACCTGGAACCCACGTTTGGAATCTTTTGGAACCAATGATGAAGTTTGTTTACAAACAAAAGTTGAGGTTAGCATGAGTGTTTTTTAGTTCTCGATTTGGATGGACGTAAAATTTTTGATCTAAGTATCTGCAAGTTCTTTTAATGTTGTAATGTGCTACTCTATCCATTTTCATTTCAGAATCTGTGCGTTTCTGTCAGTTTTCACCGAAATAACGAACCATGTAGCAGATTGATAACCAGCATTCTATCACCGTGCTTTCATGCAATTTCCCACAGAATTCTTTCTCCTACTTCTTGCATCCTCACTTCATGTGGCAAGTTACAGAAATGACCTGTTGGAACGTAGTATGCAAATTTGCCCACGGTTGTTTAATTGCTCAGATGTGGAAGACATTGCAATCGAGGATCTAATTGGTGAGGGAGCTGTGAAAAGGGTTTACAGGGGACTTTGGTTCAGTCACTATTATGCTGTAAATGTGCTTAAAGAGCCTCAGTTCTCTAGAGATTTCCTTACTGGCCTTCATGTCTTGCAATTATTAAATGCTAGTCCTCACGTAATCAAGTTGGTAGGAATTTGCCGAGATAAGCGACTGTTCTTGAGCGAGTTTCATCAATTTGGAGATGCACAAAATGTTCACAAGATCCTCGAGGAATTGGCAAGTGACAGTATTGTAAATCGACTTAAATTTTGTATTAGTTATGTTGAAATTTTGGAATTTCTTCACTCTGAGAACAATGGCGTGAGGGTCATGTGTGATAGCAATGACTTGCCAAAAACACTGTCACAGTTTCTTGTTACTGATGGACTGCGGCTAGTCCTTAACGATGCAGATGCTTTACCGTCTGTAAGTGAAGTAGCCGACAAGAAAATAATATGTGGTCATCGAGAAATAACCTCCTCATTTGCTGCACCAGAGCAACTGTGGCCTTTTCCAGGCACACCTTTCAATCTTACAGCCATGCCCAAGTACGATGAAAAAACAGACATTTGGAAAGTACCGAATGTCTGTGAGCACTTTTTAGGAACTTATGCTAATCATAAAGTAGTGAAATATATGTTATTTGAAATCCACAAATTATGCAAAAGTAAGAAACCAGATGATAGACCTTCTGCAACTGCAATTAAGAATATGTACATTGAGTCTCTCAACAAAATTCTCCTCAACAGTTGACTGTGATTTTACAAAAAGAATGTTTGCCCCAAAATAATTTTACATTTTAATTAATAAAATTGTGAATAAAAATGATACTTCGGATTTCTTCTTTTATTGTTAGTATATGATTTTCACCTTGGTACAAGTTAGAATTTGCTGAATAATAGGTCAAGGCACCTGCTTTAATTTTGAGTATTCTAAAAGTCAATTTTATTGTGATACGTAGTGGTTTAATTATTCTCTTGGAAATGAACTCAAATAAAATATTCCCATCTTATGAGGAGCACAAAAGCAAAAATAAACCTAAAAATTCTGTAGAAGAATCTTTACATACCTGAAATATAATGTTATCACTGCAAAGATCGAGCTAAAAGCCAATTGGCTTTCAGCTCGATCTTTGCATCATCATTTTCTCGGTAATTATATCTCTGAACGAAGCACCCTCCAGCCTCCTTGCTGACTTTCATCTATTACTCTACGAGCTGCTATCCCTAAACCTTTTTCTCAGATGAAAATAATAAAAAGACAAAGATTGAAGTAAATTAATGGCAGTTTTATTACAGTAGAAAAAAGAAAATCTTTGGTTAAAGTCAAAATATGAATACAAACTTGTGGAAAAAATAAAAGCGCAAAAATGCAACTTGCTGGACTAAATGAAACTAAGTAAGTATTTACAAAGCACAGACTTTTTACTTCAGGTTCCAGAGTCCCATTGAGAAAATGGTTTCTACTGGCTAAAAACGAAGAGTTAAGACTAGGAGACAGAATTCATGCAAATCCTTTCTACATGAGAAACAGTTCGTAATTATTTTATCTGCATCTATTTGGTGAACTAGAGAATTGAACAAGAAACCCTGTTGTCATGAGGATCTTGGATAGAATCTATAAATCCGTAAATTAATAAGACTTTCCTTGTCATAAACTGTCACTAGCAAAATGTTGAATTAAAACTACAAAGTCACAAAAGTAAGTCCTGAGTCTTGATATAAATGCACCGTTGTTTTTTTTAATTGTAGTAGGATGAATAGGGGTAGAGTAGATCACTGAGATAGATCGAGTATTTTGCAAGAAATGTAAGACAATAACTACCTAAAAAAACCGACAGTAGTTTATGGAAAGCCTGAAAATGAGATATGGTGGCAACTTACAGATAAGTAGTTGGGACGCTTAAGTATTCGATGTGATGATTTAGACAGTTTTTTTATTCATCTTGTTCCCTTTACTCATGAGTGGAATTGTGGACATGTCACCAGAAATGAATACATGTAAAATACACAAACAAGGCTGTGTCATTCAAAAGGACGTTTTTTTTGGGGGAATGGGATACAACGGCTTGATAACTTAGCTAACTGAGTCAACACTTGCTCAAAAAATTATTTTTAACCATAGTTAGGCCTATGCGCTCGATTCAAAAATTTACAAAACAATCACATCTGATATGGTAGAAAAAGAATCCACTGATGAAGAAACTACAAAAACACATACATCAACTACAGTGTTTCTTTCAAACATTTCTGCTCTTTTTTTAATTGATCAAAAGAACGTTATTGGACATTTTTTGTGAAACTTTCAGAGCAGAAAAATCACATGTAATTTTAGAGAATAATGATGAGTCCAAAAAATTAAAATAAGACCAAAAATCTGCGACGTCGCAAACATAGAAGTATGGTTTTGCAATTACACCTTAAATATAGTTATGCTGTTGCCATGTTTGGTGCATGGTCTTAACTTCAAAGAGATGATTTGGAAGAGCTACAAAATATAAATAAGCATAAAAAGGAAGACCAATTGACTAGGACTCGCGTCAGCTTCATTATGTCATTATTTGATCAAATTCCATTTGATAAGATTCAGTTTCATCAATTTCGATTTCAAACTTGATTAGTCCGCAAAGAGAGTTTGCCATTTTTCAGAAATTTTTTGAGCTTATCAATTCATGAAGCTCTTGGATAAAACACTTCTGACATCATTTTACTAACTCATTATGTGTGGCATGGTTTTACAGGGATAGAAAGAATGAATGAGAAGCTATGTTCAGTATGCATTTTAAACTAAGATCTCTAACACAGGTACAGTAATTATGTTAAAATTGCTGATGGACAACATATTTGAAGAGAAAATTTATGAAAATTAGAATTGTTTCATGTATTTAATAGAAAATGCATTTCGCCATTGAAATATACTAAATTTCATCATAACTTTTAGCCTTGTTCCTGAATTTTCCTTTGATATTTGAGTACTAAGTTTCTATGATTTAATAACATACTTACAAAAAAAAGAGAGGGAGAAAAAAAGAGAAATTCTGTTGATACTTCTATAATTGACCTTAAAGCTCTCAATTTTCATTTCCCAAGAAACACACCTTAAAATTCTGAATTTTTCTTCTCATAGATACAATTTCCCAAAATATTCGTTTTGACAATTATCATATCTCATAGAATGGAGAAAATCAAATTGTAGAAAAAATTCCAGTCCTCTTGTAAAAAACTCTCTGGAACTTTTGAAAGAATGTTTTTTTCTGGGTTTCCTTAATTTTCTTGAACATTTTCAAAACATTTTCTAAATTTTTGTTCCCTGATTTTTTCATATTTGTCCACCTTGCTAACACGTCAAATGGGGCTATAATAGTATGGAGAGTGTAAAAAATTTATAAAAAGAACCTATTCAATTGCTTTTAAGTTAGTGCGTATCGTTTACATACAGCTATTAATTGAACAACATATTTAATAAAGAGCGTGACACGGCGGAAATCCCATAGCACTCATCTCCTCTGTCAAATAAACTGATGGGAGTTTAATAAAGTTGAGGGGGAAATGCACCTCTAAGTTTCATGTTCAGTATAGCAGGCGCATCAAGAGTTTAGATATAAGGGTCTGTTTGTTGGACTATAAAAAATATAGTATAATTCAAAATAGATGTATCAAAATTTAATCAACAACCTCTCTGTAGGGAATTTCAGAAGTTATCGTGAAGTCTTCCAGGTAATGGTACAGGAACTCGAATGTTGGCCGTTTATCGGGATCCGCATCCCAACACTGAAGCATTAATCTATAGATGGCATCTGGAACGTGGTGTGAGGCGGGTTTAGGCATTCTGTAGCCTTGGTCTACTTGGTGAATAACCTCTCTACCATGCATACCTAATAAATTCAAATAGGAAGTATTAGACACCAGACAAGAAAAATTATTTGTAACCATCCACAGGGGAGGGTAATATAATTAGTGTAGGCAAGTACGAAAAATTGAAACGTTGTTACCGCTAGGTCAAGAGGAACTTACAAACATTTTTGAAACTTTTTAAATAAAACCAGAGTCATAAGGATCGAAGTTTGCAGTCCTAGAAATTACAACTTGGCAGAAAATTTAGTTTAAGGTTGTCATGGGACTCAAACCTAGCTGGGTTAAGTCTTGCTCCTTTTGAATCATGAACATTAGCGCTTAGCAAGGAAGGAGGACAAATGAATGGTTGTTTTTCGGTTCTATTGACTGGATGTCAGAGTCTAACACCTTAGGCTTATTTCAGATGGACAAACTTGCTCGACTAATCAGAAGGGTCCCCCAATTTCTACAGAATTACTTGTAACTGACAATGAATTAAAAAATTCAGCCAGTTTGTCTGACGGGACAGTGCCTCAGCATCTACCTGCTTGCTAGCCCATCTTTTCTACTACAATATTGCCTCATGAACAAGCTCACATGCCTGAATTTTGTGAGCTCTCTTGAAAACTGAAAGTCATCAAAGTTCATAGATTTTGTTAAAATTTTAAGATTAACACCCATTTTATCAGCATGAATGATTTGTACATGCTGGACTTAATGTAAATAGGATACTAAAATACCGAACCTGGATATGGCACTTGTCCATAGGTGAATAACTCCATGAGTAAAATACCATAGGACCAGACATCCGACTTTATTGAAAAACGCCCGTAAACAATGGCTTCTGGTGCAGTCCATTTGACAGGGAATCTTGAGCCTATTTTGAGAAAAAGGTAAAATAGAAAAAAGATGAGTTACATAGTTGATTTATATGTATGGAAAAAAATGTAACATACTAGATTAAATATTTTTTTAAATGGAATTTTGCCTCCAAATACAAGAGAAAGTAAGAGAAAATTATTGCATCCTCACACAACTTGCATCAAAATGCTGGCTGACTTCACTGGCCGGAGGCTGCCTTTCTTTCCAGAGAGAGAATTTGAAACCCCTGCCGCTTTCTTAACATCAACAATCTGATTCTTAAATGTTAAACAAATATACATACATATAACATTCTAAGAATAAAATTCAAAGCATGTATATGTGAAAATTAAGACAATCAGTGTGTTACGCAACAATTTCTTCAGATTTTCTGTCCATCATTATCCCTCTCATTTCTTCTGTCTCATTCTAAGCTCCAACTTGTCAAGCATTCTAGGCCTCAAGCAGTAGTTGTATACAATCAAATGCACCATCACATTCATTTAATATCTTTTTTATCCGTGCATCAGATGGCTGATGCAATGTGTCCTAATACTTATATTTCAAGGCCTATGGCCTACGGCCTTCCTCCGTTTGCCAGGAACTTTACTTTGCGTTCACCATCTCAGCTATGACTACATGTCTTCTCTTAGGCTCTCACAAGTCATTCCTAGATATTTTTCTAATGTAGAACTTTCTATTTCCAACTTTGTAATCCAGCTTCCAGAGTGAGTAAAGTGGGTTGTGCTATCTCAACAATTTCCAATGTTATTCTTCCACGTCTGCTCTGCCAAAAATTAACAATAAATTTTTGCTCTCGCAGATTTCTTTTGCTGTTTAGAATACTTTTTCAAATCTTAGTGCCCAAATAATGAGGAAATCTATTGGACTTCTCTTCTATGGCAGACATGGTACCACAACCTGTGTTTCTTCATTATAACGTTACACAATCCAAGGACACTTTTCAAATAGCTGCATTGTGTTGAATGGAAGCATCTGATGATAGAAAATAATTTATTTTGTCATTGTCATTTTGTCATTATTTGTATTTAAGTCTCATGATTACCTTGGCGAGGACAGTATTCATCATCGGAGATAACACGAGCGAGTCCAAAATCACAAATTTTAGCAATATTATTCTCGCCGATTAGAACATTCCTGGCAGCCAAATCTCTATGGATTAATTGTTTAACTTCTAAGTAGGCCATACCGCTTGCAACCTAAAATCAACCAAAGAAATACTAGTTTACCTATAGAAACTGATTCTAGAAACAAAATTCAATAAAAACTGTTGATTAGTTGTCTTTTGTTTACAGTCATGAATCTACTTAAATTATCCACAGAGATAATTTTCATCAACGTGAAGAACAATCTTCAGATTGGATACAAATATTTCAAAAAGGGGCAGAGGCTTGCGACACCGCAATCTGAGATACTCATTTATCAACATTAGCCTTCTATATTTTGGTTAGAAATAGGAAATTGTCCTTCTGCCTTTTCTAGATCTAGCTGTGTAGCCACTCCCTCTTTGGGGGAAGGGGGAGATTTCCTCTAAACCCCCTGGGAGTGCCTCCCTTGTGAAAATGGTTGCCGGCTGCTACTGAAAAGGGACACAGCGGAACAAAAAAATTTTCTACCATACCCTGAATGAAGGTTATTGAATAACTTGAAGCTCATTACCTGAGCAGCGATATAGATGAGATCACCCAACTGAAGATGTCGGCCTTCGCCGTTCCTTAAAAATTCTAGAAGACTACCATGACTCATATATTCCGTGACAATGTAGACAGGCTCCTGTTTTGAACAAACCGCGTACAGAGCAACAAGTCTAGGATGTCTGAACTTCTTCATGATAGCAGCTTCTTGCAAAAATGCGCCTGTTGACATACTACCTTGTCTGAGAGTTTTTACAGCGACCTCTATGCTATTCCTCCATTTTCCTGGAATGAAATAAATAATACGTTAACTAATAACGATAATGATGAGGTATTTCTTTGTAATATTAATAAGCATAACATTAATGACGAAATTATCCCAAAACAAAGCACTACAACAAAATTATTAATGCGTCAAATGCCTCTAATAAATTCACTTTCAGGTTTCTGGGAGTTGGTTCAAGTTGATAAGTAGTTATAACCAGTTAGGAGGCCAAAAGTTAAATTTGATTTAATTTTGTGGAAAAGTTCAAGATTTAAACACTCGCAGGACCAACAAACTGATTACTTTATTTATTTCTTTTTGTATATAAGCTGTAAAATTCAAAAGCATACACTTGCTCTACCGATCAAAATTTAAATTCTTGAAACTATGTGCAAAATATCCAACAAAATTTGTTCATTAAAACAACAGTTTAGACTTGAAGAGATGTTACTGCATAACAGATAAACTTACCATACCAAACTTCACCGAAATTCCCTTGTCCTAACTTTCGAATCAATTGGACTTCTTTCCTGTCTATTTCCCATTGGTCTCGAAGTTCTGGGCTTAAATCCCACATTTGAGGCTTTGGTTTGGGGCATGGCCGAGCCAAAACATGACATAATCCCAATGCATTCTCTGTTGACAGATAAATAGGAATCTTAACATTGATGAAATGAATGAAAAATAATCAGCAATAACAAAGTCAGACAATTTAGTTTCAATTTCTAAAGATAAGGAGTTGGAAAACCTCAGAGAATTTTAAACTGAGATTTTTTAACAATTGAGTAATTTATTTACAGCAGGTTAAAAGCCAAAAACTTTTGAGCTTTTCCACTAGGACTTTTCTGCAACAAAATTTCAGACATTCATGGAATCTATTCTGACGGTTTGTTTGATCCAAGAATTTCCCTTACTCTCCTGTAAATAACAAATACAAGTTGCCAACAAAACAAACTAGATCTCTGTCGTAGTTAAAAATGATGGTGAGAAAGAAGCAAAAGCGTTAAATTGGGATCAAACATTATGACTTACTTGGTAGGTTTTGTTGGAAAAATCTTTTCTTTAATTGTTTGAGTTTAAAAAGATAATACTTACTTGTATAAGCCGTGACGAGAGCTGGGAGAGAGGGGAATGTCTGACTAGTTGCAATGAAGAAACCACCTTTATCTAGGGGTTTTACTTTGTAATGCTTAACGTGATGACCTCTTGCTTCTTCCCAGTCTTTCACACTCAGTGAAAAACCACCAGGAAGATGTTCTGAGTCTCTTACTAAAAAGGTTCCTCGTGGGTTTTCCTCTGCTAACAGTAGTTTCTCTGCTTCTTTCCGAGATATTTTGCCGAAGAACCAACTGGAAAAAAAAGAATTTAGGGAATATTTAGTTAAATAAAATTTGAAGTTGTGGTATGATGCTACTAGACATGAATATGTTACATAAAATCCTCTGGAACCTAAAACAAGCCCCCGGCTTCAAAATTTCCAGTTTTGGTATAATGCTACTAAATAAGTACATATTACATAAAATCCTCTGAAACCTAGAACAATTTATGCCTCAGGTAAATGAAGGGCATGGGTGACATTTTTGTAATTCTCAGAAAGATGACATAAATGATGGTTTGACATCACTGTAGTGGAAAACAAGAATTAACATAGCACCTGCAGCAATGCATTATGAAAAAAAAAAGTGCTGGGTTTGTGACATATAGTCCAACCTCTTTTCACTGGCACATTGACAGAGCCCCTGTGAACAAGCCCTCCATACAGGCCTGTGATGTAAAAGTCGGAAAAGCTAATCAAAGGGCAGTCAGTTCAATATCTATACCAGTTTTTCTTCTGCCATGATTTGAAGTACTAAAGTATACTACTCCAATTAAATGTTTTAACTAGTGTAGCAGGGCTGACGATAGAGTTTTCAAGGAGACTGAAATGGTGATTCAATGGGAGAGGAATCCAAATTACCTTGCGGAAGGACATCTACAATGGAAATATTTTTTCTTGTGGTGCATATGATTACTAAAATTAAAGTACACTCCTTAATTAAAAATAGATTCATGAAAAATTTACACTGTATATAATTGTTTACTCCTCTATTTGAGGAGCGTTTGTGTGACGAAAGGCTAATGAATTTTAATTAGAAACTGGCCAAGACTCCATTTTTGAAAATGAAGATAATTATACTTGGAAAAAATGATACATTAACATTTTCAACACTGACTTGACCAAATAATCAAATTACAAATATTGGTCTCATCTTTACTAAATAAGATGAGAGTAATTCCTACTTGGATACTTGGGGGATATAAGCATCATTACAAAGTGATCTATTGTGTAGCTTGTATGAGAAGTCAAGTGATGAAAAACTTTTTCGAGCAAACAGTGTTCAGACACAATTTATGCATCGTTATGACAGATTTTTTGAGGATAAACTAAAACAGAAAATTTATAGAGTCAACCCATGGTATGACATCAGCTGATCGAGTAAACAATCTTAGATGTTGTCAGGTTTCTAATAAATTTGCATTACTGGCAACACTCCTTCTTTTTGAAGAAGGTTTAATTTCTGCCTGGAAAGAAAACAAGGATATCCTAATGGATGTGATTCAATGCTTTGAGAGCAATTTGATTACAGCCAATTAATGATCAAGAATTGCTCATAAGAGTCAAAGATGGAATACTATTGTTTACTGTTCCTTCAGTCACCAATGGCATCGTTGGGACTAATGATTCATTTATGGGAGGCAAATTGTGGCAATTCAATTCGATTAACTTTATTTTTTACAGCTGCCAATATTATGAGAAAATACTATCCTTTTGCCATCTGTTGATCAATGATTGCACCAAATCGGTTCAGAATGCACCTTAGGACTTAAATTTAAAATAGGAAAAATGACAGATGCTGCTGCGAGTAGATTTAATTTAATTATGTAAGTAGGTAACTAAACTCTTGTCAGAGAATATTTTGTTTTTGTGTAGCTAAGGTTGGCATTATCAATCATATTCAACTGCAAAAATTTACTTCAGGTGAAGTCAAAATAAGGATAATGGTACAAACTGCTGCCAAAGAGACGGATCAAAGGTCGTAACTAGACTTCCTTAGAACAGAAAAACTATAACTCAGGTTGGTAATATAGTTCGAAATAATCCGAGGGATGCAGAATGAATTTGGCCTTTCAATTAGATAAATCAATTTTTCCACATGATGTTCACAGTCATAACTCTCTTCCCTTCTTCTTCTATTCTTATTTTTATAAATACCTTACAAAAATTGCCACAAGTTTACAAAAATGCAATTTTCAAGCCAGTCTCTTCCTTTTTTAATCATTTTTGTGTGTAAACTAGCCAGTTACATGGTCCAAAGATTTATGAAATTTTTTATAATCGCAAAAATTGGCTTGAAGTTAAATTTTTTTGTTACTTCTCGTTGAGATTAGATATTCAGTAAAGATGAAAACTTACTCTTCACTTTCGATTGATTTTTCCTCAGCCACAAAATTCCAGGGTATGAGTCCTTCTTCACCAGTTCTAAACAGTCTAACTCTCCACCAGTCTGGCTCACTGGAAATTAATAGAGAAAAAAGAACTGTCAATATCAGGAGAAAGAAATTCATAAAGCGTAAGTCAGTTAGGAATTATTTCCAATAATTTATATTGTACAAAGCAAGTTCTGCGTAAAATTTTGATAAGAAACATTCATCGTATTGCTCAAGTTCATATCTTGTTAACTTTCAGACACGTTCTGTGGTTAATTTTCATCACTAAATGGGAACATATATTAGAGATTATGTAGCTTTTTACTGGCTGTTCAAGGAGTTCTTGTTAAAAAAGAACATATTTAAGACATGTTCCTTTGTTACAACAATCAATAATTTCAGAGGCTCCCCCTTGCCCTTTTTACCAAGTTTGACCATCATATGATGGTAGAAGGAGAACTTAACGTTACAAACATGTATTCTACCATAAAATTGATTTTGAAAGTATCAAACAAATTCAATGCACAAAAATACCTGCCATTACGTACCTGTCATCAAGAATTTCCATTCTATCTCCTTTCACAAAAGAAAGATCAGCATCTTCTCGTGCTTGATAACTGTAAACAGCTACTACCACTCGGCCCCGAGATGAAGAATTAGGATGACCTATAATTTCAAAGAGCAAAAGGGGAAAAAAATTAGTTAAAGAAGAGGAGGCAATGTAACCTTCAGTTTAAACTGATGTGAGTGAAATGAAGACACCATAACTTATGTGGACACAGTGAATAACATAAATAAATTGTTTCAAAACTTCAACTGCATTTTTCTCTGATTCACGTTTTTTTCTTTTAACATTTTGAAATGCTCTGAAGTAGTCAATTTTTTTTATTCTTCAGTGTCCTTCTTTGCAAATAATTTAGAATTAACTCTGGGTGCGAGAATTCAGTTATCTCAATTTTTATTTGTAATCACTTTAAGTCCCCTTTTCCTCAGGTGCATTGCAAATAGCTTCCTCCAAACTCTATTTCCTTAACTGGAAAAATTAACCTGTCTTAGCTTCAAACCATTTGAGGCCCTTAGTGTGATAAAATGTTTCTTGAATAATAGCATGATGGTACTGTTCATTATAGCAGGGACTCAGTTGGACTGCATTTTGCAATTAGAAACTACAATTTCTAGCTCGATTTAGAAACAACCTATGCACCATTAGTTTCTCGGTGCACATACGTGTTTTTACGGGTGAGTCGGAACTTGTAGTTCCTCACTGAAAAATCTAGTCCAATTGTGAGTGGTCCCTTTCCCCTTAGACAGTCGAATACGAAGAGAGGACAAATTTTTTTGCATACATACCTGACATTGTGGGTGTGCGAATGATGTCCACTCCATGGCGTTTCATTGAGATACCTGGCGGACGGTTTGGGTCTGGTGTGTAACGAGGGTCACCACCGGCACTGACCAGGCCATTAACGTCCATACCATCGATTTTATAGCCATGATGATACACTGTGAATATTGGATGATAAAAATTATTAAACAGTGAATAAAAAAAGACAATAAAAGGACAATTCTTGGGAATAAAGAGATGATTTTGGGTAAAACATGTTCTACAATGCGTCTCATGGCTCATGGTTAGCATTGTTCGACTACAATTGAATTACTTGATAACTGGCATTTATATGTGTGGATACATAATATTTTCTATCAACTCTCATCTATCTCCAGAGGTTCGTGGGACCATTATTTAGTATTTCCTGAACAAGAACTAAGACTATCTGGTGCATTTCCTTTAACAGCCCAGCTCTAGTGTTGCCAGGCTCAGGATAAAATAAAGTTGTTGGAGTTTTTTTTTGAGCATACCTAGTTCTTCATTCAGATGTATTTTTCATTTAAATTTGATTTTGAAAAAAAGCTTTAACAGTTGATATGGATTTTATTATAACGCTTTCTATGGATCTAAAAAACGATCAACCTCAAGATGTGATTTTAAAATTATAAATCCACGATGAAATTTCACAAACATATCTTGATTGCAGCTTTCCAAAATCTCAGCCTTTGTTTGAGTTCAATAAAGAAAATATAACAAATGTTGTATATTTGAAGTACTTGTAAAATATCGGGTGATGACGGAAAATCAGAAATGATTTTCATAAATGGATCCTTAATTTTCATTAGTTTTTCTTGATGTATGGAATGAAATCTGTGATGTATGGAATTGAAATGCGTTTTGACAACTTTCACCATGGATACACCTATTGTTCAATAATGACTCTAATATACATGAAAAATATAATTATTGTTTTGTTATGTTTTGGAGAGCTGAAACTGAAAATACGCTCTTGAGGATCATGAATATTACCTAGGGGTCGACCAGGGTCATTGTTCTTCTTACTGCAGCACATTCCCATGTTGATACTGCAGTCCAACTACGAGCGCACGGACTAATTTACAATTTTGCTATCTTCATAGATATGGATTGGATCAGACTAGATTTGCAGACAGTCACTTCTTCAGTCTACTCCTTTTAAGCATTTTCAGTTATCCACTCAACAAATTGGTGGTGTCTTCCAGGCATCTGAATAAAAGAAATAGACAAGTTAGAAACTTGGCAAAGACTGGTAAAAACTGGTACTTAAGGTGCTAAAAATAAAATTCACATCAAATGATTTCACAGCTTTTCGAGCAAGATTGAAAACAATTGGGTTTGAAGGAGAATATAATGGAAAAGAATGGGGGGTGGGTAATCAAGTATAGAAAACCAAATTCTTTTCAACCCTCAAGTTTCTTCTGGAACAGGTAGCTGTCATGAGTTGCGGATACATCATCGTAACTGCTATCCATTTCACTTATCCATACCCATTAAGTATGTGAGCAGTTGATTGCAAGATTTTTACAACTGTGTAAGACTTTCCCTATGTAGTTCTGTAGAATTACAATCAGCTCCTCATCCCATCTAATGGGTCCTTGCATGGCCAAGTCCTACACTAGCATTGTGAGTTATTCCTGCAAAATGCATGGAGCAGCCTACTAACTCTCACCACCATTAACTTTGGGAAGCTATGAGGCATAAACAAATCATTATCTCATCCCTAAATAAGATCTGTTTCTGGGCATTTTACATACTTCAGACTAAGGCTATACAAGAACAACTGAAGCCTTCTCTGTCAGTGGAAAAGGCATCCCTCAGTCTCGGTCGATCTTAAGCCCTATTCACACTTTCAAACTTTTCATTCAACTCTTGACTGCAACGTGTCAAATGAAAAGTTGGATAGTGTGATACTGACGCAAGAAAACAGCAATTTGATGAAAAATTGTACAGAAACTTCAATCTGACTTCATATTTAACTTTGCATTTAACTTTCAACTTTCCATCCGATTGGCTGGAAAGTTGAACAGAGAGTTGGAACGAAATTTTCCAAGCGACATCAGCCAAAGCTTTATCTTCGCGAACCGAAGGCTGACAGAAATACCTAATGCTGATTTCCAGAACTGGAAACCTGGAATGACGATCACACTGCATCGGTGATTGAATCAAATTTTTTGGAGTTCAACTTTCCATCGAACTTTTCATTCAATTATGTTAGATGAAAAGTTTGATGGTGTAAATTGTTGAGACATCGCCTGGATTTGGCCAACCTATCAAGCCATCAGGGTGTTCATGATCAGATGTTGAGATAGCAAGACTCACGGGTAGAGATTTGCTCATGGAGATGTACAGCTAGCAGTATTTACGTTAACTGTCCAATTGTAGGTGAAAATACATAGGAGCAAATGATCTACCTTGGAGACGTACCTCCTGATGCAGGGGTATCAAAGGTAAAGAGCCTAATAGCTCATGACTTCACCCACCCTGAGTAGTGTGATAATTCATTGCGAGTTTTGACAGATAAAAAGAGGATTTGTAGGATAAATGTTGACTTACAAACTTCATCTTATCGTAGCTTCATCTTCAGTTCATGGTGACATAGCGAGAACAGGGGTAAGTGGGTTGAGGTAAAAGAGATGATGTTGGAGAACACACTACTAGAGCTAACTAGAAAGAAATAGCTCTTGCAAAAACCGAAAAAACCTCCTTCTTTGGGAGAGAGTAAAAGACAAACTAAGTAATCCGAAGTCTGATATGGGAAGCTAGAGCAAAGATAGGTATTGATGAATGAAAAACTGGAGTGAGGGCTCTTCCATCGCCAGTTGTGTGCTTTGATTAATAGTCATCTATTCAAATATCACAAGTAACAAATCGTAAACTTGAACTTGACATGACTGGATCGAAGAAAATACAAAATAATGGCAATCACTATTCACTATTTGTAGGAAAATCGAAGAACACACACACACACACTTTGCTCCCACCGTCACCCTAGATAGTTTACACTAAGCAAGCAGTTGATCACAGTGGCAACACTTTATTCGGTGCGTGAGGTTGGTAGACTTGTAATCGATCAATTTCAAATCTGAAAGGCGGGATTTACGAAAACCACAAACTTTATCTACTTTCCCGTAACAAAAGAGACATAGTTAAGTAACTCGAGTCATGAGTATCTCGTCGTAAACTTCCAATTGAATAGGTTACGTTCTATTTGATCGATTCACGAATGCCAAGTTCAAGTCATTTCTTTTTCACCGTTGGATGAACTTGTTAACCTTGATATCGACGGAGCCCTACTTTTCTCGGGAGCAAGTTCAGTTTGAGACCTAGTGCGGCTCGCAGCTGCTATGTAGCAATATAGAAAGTGAGTTCAATACCGTCCGCAAACAAATTTTATCTTCACCACCCCCCCCCCCCTTTCGATGATCCAACTGATCTCGTTCAAGATCTACCTTATATCATGGATCTCGATACTCACGGGTGGGTAACAGTTTCCTTCCTCATTTAAATGCTAATCGGGATCTTGTTAATTACGGTACAGATCCGGCGCGGCGCACACTGGATGGAACCGATAGAAGAGGTCGGACGAAATCTGAAAACTTTGAAAGCTTATATTTCAAAAAATATAAAACAGAAAAGTTATAGAGTGGTTTCATTGGTTTTGTCCTGAAATTCTCTTTCAGAAACAGCCCTTGGAATTGAAATTGTGACGAACTTAACAACAAAATTTGAAATTTTAGCCAACAAATTCATGTCCGACCTATACTTATAGCTTGTTCCACTGTGCGACACCCGCCACTGGGATAAGTAGGTAACTGGTAAATGAAATTGTCCACTGGCCGCTCGCTCGGTGTCACAGAGTGCTCTTAGCTTAGGCGGTAGATACGTTGGCGTTTACAATTTTTCATGTACCAAATAATTTTTTTTGCTTCTTGGTGTTTTTCAATGTGTCTTGCTTATCTAGCCTTTGAAAATGTTTCACATTTTGCATAACTTCCCTATAGTAGCAGAACAAATTTTTGTTTTTCTAAAAAAAGTATTAAAAAAAACATATCTGTTACCTAAATGGTAGTTTTACATAAAAAATGTGTAACGCTTATATTAAAAAAAAAATCAAAGTTCAGACCTGACCATAATATATGAAAAATGATGAGCAAGATAAGGTAATTTTCTTTTTATAGACAATTTTTTTATGTTTATATATGACGCATGCATACGAAAGTGTTAAAAGTGAAAATTTTTATGTAACTATTATGTAAAAAAGGAGGTCATCATTTTCGTGAGCTTTTCGCAAATTAGAAGATTTTTTAGTATGTTTGCGAAAAGCTCACGAAAATTATGACTTTTTCTTATTATAATGGTTACATAAAAATTTTCATTTTTAACACTTTCGTATGCATGCATTATATAAAGAAAATTAACTTTCGCACATAATCGTTATCTTTTCCTTCTATGGTTCTGCTACTAGCGCTCATGAAAATTCCTTGTCCAAATCTTTCATTTTTTTTTCAATTCAGATTCACAACCCTCAATTTTAGGGGATTTAAGAGTGAGGGGCGACCGGGGTGATCACCCCGAGATCCCTACCATAAGATAATTTATTTTCTTTCAAACTAATTTTTTCAAACTTTAGAGAGGGTGCTTCATTGGAATCTCGAAACTGGACTGTTTGGCTCGCCTCGGAAAATGCTAGAGAAGATATTATTGACAACATTCATGCATATTTTTCCTTAAAATTGACAGATATTTTAGATTAATTTGCGTACAAAATTGTCTAAAAATTTTGGAAAATGACGTTCGTAATTTTCCCAGAAAATTCGGTTTTTATCGGAGGAAACTTGACAACGTCTAAATGCACATACGGCGTTTTTCCTTAGCACGGCAGAATACGCGACGCTTCAGATACAATCGTCCCATAGAGTACATTAGAGTCGCTTTGTACTGGAGCGCCGCACAGAGGAGCAAACTCTCAGTAAGCGAATTTCATTTAAAGTTCCGAACCTCTTCGGGGAGTTCTGTCTTGGTTGGTATCATCGATCACCAACACCAGTTAGAGTCCCTTTATACCCAGAGTTAAGACAACTCACTTTTGGTTGGGCTGAAAGTGGCCTAAAAAAAAATCCAATTCTGATTGGTTCTCGCTCATGGAGGCCGAAACGAGTGCACCAAGATGGCGGTACCTCGAATGTGAACAAGAATAATGAAAATATTACCTAATTGTGGTTTATCAAGAGTAAATTGTTATTGCCATCGGTCCAAAATGAAAATAGATTAAGAAATTATTCACAAACCAATCTCATTTTCTTTTTAATTGATCAATTTGTTGATGTTGTTGTTTTTGTGTGGTGTGACAGACATCGCAGGATTCCTGATCCTTATCCCTCAATATCGTTCGTTTGGGTGCACTCATTTCGGCCTCCATGGCCAACCAAGGCCGGCTGCCAGTCAGCTGATAATCGAGTTGTCTTAACTCTGGGTATAAAGGGACTCTAGCCGAAACCATCCCGTCACAAATTGTCAAGTGTTTCTCTACTTTCACCATTGATAGAGGATATATTATCCATACTCAACTACAATGAGCGCGGCGCGAACCTGCAAAGCGCCTTCATGTTTTAGCTATGCAACACGCACATTCTTTAAGTGCGAATAGTTGCTTGAAGGCGTTACCAGCAAATGCGTATTTTCAGGTCAAGAGTCAAGACGAACGAGGTGGAAGACCGCGGACACGATTAGTGTTACACTTCTGAAGAGGACAACAATGACAACATACCTATGTGAACCTCTGTGAAAATTTTTGCCGCAATGGGTCGAAATATCGGATATCGGATTTCGAGATTTCGATAGAAAACTCACCAACGTATGCATTAGCTGGTTGCGGGCGGTTTAGCCAATTTTTATAGTAATATATAGAGTTCCATAGAGTTTATAGTAATTCTAAGCGTGACGTTCCATCTTGATCCGTTAATTTCGTGTCATCAACTTGGCAGGTTAATATTTCAAATAGTTATTTCTCGAAACTAAACCGGACATTTTTTAATAATTGAGATATCTCGAAAGAGCCATAGTAACTTCGAGCTGTTCATACAAAAAATTGAATTGAAATACACTTTCAAATAGTTTTTGTGTAGGCAGTTATGTAAATAATCATAACAAGGTGGTTTAATAATACATTTTATTTGGAGCGCAGAAGCTTTTCGACCATTACGATCATTTTCAAGGCAATAGAAAAAAGCATTGCAATAAACAACAAAGCGAGATGAAGAAACAGAGATGCAGCAAAGTATAAAAAAATTGAGACGTTAGATTTTTTCATGGTTTGCAATATCTTTGTTTCTTCATTTCGCTTTGTAGCTTTTGTTGCTAGATTTTATTGCTTTGAAAATGATCGTAATGGTCGAAAAGCTTCGGTACTGTAAATAAAATGTATAATTGTAACACCCTGAGGTTATGATTTACATCAGGGCCGCATTAAGAAGGTGGCCACATGGACCGCGGCCCATGGCGGTAAATTGAGGGAGCGGCAAAATTTGAAATTTTTTTAAATGTAGGTATAAAAAAAATTACAAACGAGAAAAAGCGACAAAATCTTTCATTTCCTGAGAGTATAGTAATTTCTAATTTTGTCGTTTTGCGGTGATACAAGAGACAGCACCTTTACCTACTTGGTCGAGTTATGAGAAAAAGCAAACACGCAATTCTGCCTGGAGAGAGCAAAGAGGACGAAGACTTGAGATGAAAAGGAGAAGCCCTTGGCGCGCCGGTCAGCATGAAACACATATTAGCGCCTACAAGACTCCACGAATACCTCACACATTGCGCCACGATGAGTGCGATCAGGTCAGCAGCGGTTGGCATGAAACGCACAGCGCCTACAAGACTGTAGGGATACTTCACGCATTGCGTCAAACATAGTGCGATCAGCGCGACGACGCATCGTCGCGTAGATCGCGACGATCGCGCTGATCGTCGTCCGCGACGGCGACGCGGCGGCGCGGCGGTGGAAGTTAAAATTATTAAACCACATTTATGTTTGTTCTTTCATAATTTTCTCGTTCATTTTTTATGAATGGAAGGCCTTGTCCACACAGAGGTAGGTTTACGGAACTTAACTTTCGCGCCAAGTTCCGTGAATTTTTGCTGGTAGTGTTGACAGGGCTTTCGCAAAAAATGTGTCCAACACGAGTAAACGTGTCTTACGCACCCCTGTCCCTCCGGCACGTTCACTTGATGGTTTTCTATTGATGTTTCAAAACGAATGAGAGGGGGGCGGCAAAATACAGGCGGCCCACGGACGGCAAGTAGGTTAATCCGGCCCTGATTTACATAATAATCTACACAGAAATCATTATTGGTGTTATCGTGATAATTACCTACCTATTGTGATAGGTAGGTATCTTCAAGTATCTGAAAATATGACTGATATGTCTCGAAGTTATCCCCCAAAATCACCAAAGCATTCTGAAGAGGATGAAGGGAGTCGTGGAGGGGGGGGGTAGGTTCCCCGCGATCATACCTCCTCCTCACAATCCTGACCATGGCCCCGTTCTGAACGGTGTAACAGTTTTTAGACAAATATTTTCATCTGATCCGATTTTGGAAATATTTTTTGTTGAAATGGCACGCACCGTTGCAGTGAATCCGTTTGCAATCTGGTTTCAATTTTCGAACAGTCAGCTCCGAGCGCCCGCGCGATTTTCCTGCCCTTGAACTCGTCATCGGCTTTCGGACACACGACTCCCCCAAATATTTACCAACGAATCCTCCACGCAAATTAGTAAATCAGTTCAAGCCGGAGCCTATCATGTCCATTCTCCGAAGAGTCCCCAAACCTGAGTCTTCTTACGGAAAACAAGGGTCATCAGAATACGGACGTGTTAGGTTTTAGCATCAACCGCTCCAACGTTGCGCGGTTGTGCGATTAAATTCGGATAGGTACCATGTTGTGGGAAATCGGGATCATTAGTGATTTGTGGATGGGCTACTTACATTGGACATGAAGATTGTTAAACGCCGAGGATGAATGTGTATCTCACTCGCAACGTTTGAACATCTCCCGTTATGTTTGATTTTTTTAAAGAAAAAGTAACGAAAACGTTACCATTTTGTGTGATTCTTTCGGATGTTATATGACAAGATTCACAGAAAATTTATTTATGAAATTTTGTTTTGAAAACCGAATTTACAGGTGCCACGTAAAAATTTGAGGAGACTTGAAGACTGTTATTATAATTAAACGGAAAAGGAAGGAGCAATGAACATAGGCGGAACATAAATCGACGGTGAAAGTCGGCAATCACATAACTCGTTTGCGGTGTCTGAAAATCTCCGCCCCTACGTCATTTTTTTAAAGGAGAACAAATTGATATTATTTCTTGAAGTTTTTGCAGAATTTTCTTCGCATTGAGAAGAAAAATCATGACAGTTTTAAAGAATTGCCGTTGAGTAGTTTTCCATTTAAAAAATAAAGTATGACAGGAAGTCTGCGACATTGCAAACCGAGTTATGTGATTGCCGACTTTCACCGTCGAAATGGAGGTTAAGTGCAAAGCGCGTAAGTGCAGTTTTTGGAAAAATTGAGATATTAATGATTTCAAGTAAAACTAGTCTCAATGCATATTTTGTGAAAAATTCGCTCCCAAATTCCGATTTTTAAACATCGAAAAGTTAGTCCGAACTTTCTTTCCGCCATAATAATCCATGCATGTTCGAGACTTCAAACACGTAATTCTCGAAATAGCAAGAACTGCACTTATGCGCCGTGTCCTCCAAGCCCCTCATTTTCAATAGCAGAGCATTGTTTAACAGCACTTGGAATTGGTCCGTTGAAATCAGAGCGCTTTTTATACGAGAAGAAATGCTAGTTTTAAGCGCAACCTGGCAACTCTTCGCCGAAATCTTTCTTATTCTCACGGTTTTCTTATTGATTCGCCAAAATTTAAGATCATAGAAATTGTTCCGATGCCGGTGCAACCTTCATGCAGGCAGATGCGGACCTTGTCAGGAACGATCTTTATGCCCCTCCCCTTTTTATCGCTGAATTTTTGTTTTTCGAAGACCAGAAGAATTTTACGGGAGTGGAATTTTAGTTTTAGTCATCTCAGTTGCCTGAAATCCTCCGCCGTTGGAATCTCAGATCTCCTGGAATCTGCGTAACGTTGTCCGTGAATTTTGCGGTGAAATACCTCTCTTGAATCTAACAAAAAGAGGACGAATATTTTCTGTGTGTTTTTTTTTATATATCAAAGTTGTTTTAAATTAGAAGTGTGCGTGTGTGAAAGCTTTCAAAGTGCAACATTTTGTCTTCAATTTTACTGTTTACGCCGATGATGGAAAATTTCACACTAGTTTTGCTCTCTTTCATAACTGCCCTATCAACATATTTACTGGCTGACCTTTGCATGAAAAGATGGAAACTCGTACAGATGATTGATGCCATACCTGGGCCGAGGGCTATAATACCATTCTTGGGAAATTTCCGAATCACGTTCATGCCTAGGGAAAGTAAGTTTTGATTTTTCCATGAAAAGAGACGTTAATTACTTAGTACCTTCTGCCGGGCGTACTATATTGCTTCACCGACTTTGCCGACTCTTCGATTGTTGCAGCTCTTGATACTTTTTTTAAGACTGTACTGAAGACTAAACTTATTTTAAGACTATACTATAAGACGCTGAAAGTTGACCATCGAAACCCCTTTTCAAGAGAAAGTGCCTCTATATTCCAGTTTACGGATAATACATTCGATATACCAGTGGTGTGGCGTGAATTGCGATATATAGATTGTTATGCCATTTAAATCTATGGTAAAGAATCGATTATTAAGGTGTTCGCTGCGAACACTCTGTTTATCAATCCTTCTCCATAGGTTTAAATGGCATAACAATCGATATATTATCGCAAAGCACGCCATGCCACTGTTCGATACCACTATTTTGGCTCGAATGAACCCACTTTTGTCGATCCCACGAATTGAAGGCGAAAAACTATCTTATTTCTTGCTTAAGATGTGTCTACTGCGGGGGAAGGGGCTGGGGGGAAGGACCGAAAATTAAGATGTACCGGTGTCCATTATTGTTCTTACGAACATTTTATATTAAAAACGTTAACAATGTAAAGCCGAATTGGTAGATAAATATCTGGAAGTAAGTGTCCCCCGATATCATTTCATTTTTTTAAAAAGGAAACTAACAAAAGAATCTCCTTAAAATATTCTGCTAATACTTTTGTACGAGTGAAGAAAATTTATAATGATTTCAAAAAGAGCTGATGATTAGTTTTTTCTGAAGAGATTTGCTGTCTTCTTAAGCAGAGATTTGCTGTCTTCTTAAGCAGAGACTTGCTACGTAGGAATAAGATGTATATATATACACCATATTTCTACTGATCCAGAGATCAATCAGCTTTCAGTCTTACTTTATTATATGCCATCAACCCGAGAGCATCCGCACAATAAAAGTCTATTATAACTTATTCTTTTAAGAACGGTAGAATCTGTACGTATTCTTCCTATTTGCAGGAATACCATTCCAGCTGGCAGAGTGGTATCAAAAATACGGCTCAATTTTTCGAGTGTGGGTATTTTTCGTACACGCTGTTGTTGTCTCAAAGGCTCAGTTTGCAGAGGTATGTCTCGTTATTTTAATGTTGTGTCTTAGCCTTACTTACGAACTTTTTTCATTTAGTCAAACGCGGTACCAATTTTTACAGTGAAACTCCCAAAATACGTATCTCAGTTTGCGATGTTCAAACTTCCTGTCATTCTTAATTTTTTAAATGGAAAACTACCCAATGTCAATTTTCAAAACTTCTACGACTTTTCATCTCTGTGTGGAGAAAATTCTGTGAAAACCGCGAGACATGTTTATGAATTGTTATCCTATAAAAAGATAAAACAGGAGCGGCAATTTTTCAACATCGTAAACAAGATACGTGGTTTGGAGGTTTCACCGTCAACATGCCCTGGTAAAAATTGACGATACGAGCTGCGTTTCAAAATACCATAGGAGTTCTTATAGCCACTAAAGAAGGCTATTGAAAATCATATAGCTGGCTGTAGAAAGCGGAGCAAATCATATGGCCGGGCTATACGAAGCTATAAAAAAGTATACAGTCGGGCTATAGTTCCTATCGCCGGGCTTTACACTTTATCGCCATTGGCTATAAAAGGCTATAAGAAATTGTGTAGAAATTCGTATGCTTTGGAAATCATCAAGTTTGATACGGAACTACCTTAATATTTACAAAACACACATTATATTTTCCTTTAAAACATATTGTTTTTTCATCAATTAAAATGAGATGGTCCATACAGAGTGTGCAAAAATTTCAAAATCATGAGTTGAAAAACGCTGACTCCGCGAGATTAAATATTAGAGCCTAACACAAAGCGGAGCGGCGACGCATTGGTGCCTACAAACGTAACAGGGATACTTCACGCATTGCGGGGCAACGCACTGGCGCCTACAAACCTAACAGGGATACTTCACGCATTGGGCGGCGACGCACTGGCGCCTACAAACCTAACAGAGATACTTCACGCATTACGCAATGCGTGAAGTATCCCTGTTAGATGTGTAGGCGCCAATGCGCGTTTCGCGCTCTCTGCCCGCCCGCCGCGCCGCAGCGTGCCACGGCGTCTGAAGCAACTATTTCACACCAGAGGAATTGCACAGTATCATGAGAAATTAAAGGCGCTCCAACATATTGAGAATGACAAGCATCCTTCAAAAGTACGGAGCTTTCCTCGCAAAATATATCAAGATACTACGGCACAAAAAGAGAGCGGTAGTCCAAAAACTAACGAAGTCCTAGTATCCGTAATTAGTAACGTTTAGCATAAACTTTATCGTCTGAATGTTGCTTAATCGCCATCGGCTATAAAAGGCTATAAGAAATTGTACAGCAGGCTACAGAAGCTATTGGAAATCTTACAACCGGCTTTGCTTTACTTCTTTAGTATTTTGGAACACACATTCTACTGCCAATTTTTACCAGGGTGTTCCGTGCTGCAACTTCCAAAATGACTTTTTACCACTGAGGGTGTTTCGGAATTGCGAGAAACGTAAACTTCGGTTTTAAATTTAAATCTTGAGCGATTTTTAGCGTGGAGGTTAAATTAGCCTCAACCAATACTTAATAGCAGCAAATTGTAGGAGGTCGATCAGGACAATTTGTTGTGACCTTTAACGACGATTAATACTGGAGGCGATGAGAAAAAAAGCAATGATCAATGTGACCACGCGGCCTGAAAATGAAAATGATTATCTAAATTTTATTTTTTCAAAATAATTTCTATTTAGTGCCTTTAACTGTTTTTGAATAAAGAACAATTAAAAACTACTAAAGGAGTATATAAAACCACGCACGATTTCCAGGCTGAACAACAAACATTGGTTTACATGTTTTTATATGTCAATAGTTTAATATGTTCATGTAAAAGGTCACTGACTTATGAGTATGTTTTATTTGTATTTTTGCAGAGCATATTTAACAATGGGAAACACATTGAAAAGTCTATATTCTATCGCCTTATGGAACCGTGGTTAGGATCTGGATTACTGACAAGCGATGGTGAGTTATTTAAGACATCACAGTCCTAATCCTTCCTAGTTTAGTTCGTTCTGAATAAATACACTGGAACCTCAGAGTGATGTTCACCGCGCGCCGGACAGTGGATCCGTGTCAATATGAGAGTTCGGACCAAATTTGGAAACTGCGAAAGCTTATAACTTCGTTTATACAAAATTTTGAGGTTCTGAAAGTGGTTTCATTGGTTTCCTCGTAACATTTTCTTTTGAAAGCATCCTATTAAGTTTAAAATGTGACGAAATAAACACTAAAATTTACAGTTACAGGCAAAAAAATTCAAGGCCGATCTCTCTAATTGACTCAATCCACTGTGTGCCGTCGGCTTCGCGCCGCGCCGCGGGTGAAGTGGTGAGTGCCTGGACAGCTGAAACGCCTTCACTTCTATGTTTATGCAACACGGACATCCGCGGAACCCGAATAGTTGCATCCAGGCGTTGTAGAGAATGTTGTTTGACATCCGTCGCATGCGACAAATTCAAAGAAAAATTCTGTTGAATCGGACGGAATTTGGAACAAAAACATTGACCACTCGTCTTCCGAGAAAATGAAATGCGACAGGCGACATGTGTATGTGATCCTGCCCTTTGACTTGTATTATATTTCCTAGGTGCATGGGCGAAACCATAACACAGTGAAGTCTGGTGAATGTATCAATGAAAATTATTTTACATTCTGCTCTTTCCTTCTTGAAATGTGTGCTGCGGCTACTCATGTTCATTTTCATGCAATCACCCTATAATTTTATTTCTGCTCAGGAAGAAAATGGCACTCGAGAAGGAAAATGATAACCCCAGCTTTCCACTTCACCATCTTGAGCGACTTCGTAGAAGTTTTTGTAAAAAATGCAGAAATTCTGGTTGAAAAGCTGGAAACGTGTGAAAAAATGGAAGAATTTGAAGTATCTGACATCATATCAGCAAATACTTTGGATAATGTATGTGGTAAGTGTTGGCTCTGAAATATTCAGCCATTTAAATTTGAGAACCAGCTGTTACTCAGCTTTTTACAAAATTTTAAAACTATACGAACAAATTAATACTAATAAACAAAGGTTTGACTCTAGGTCAGGTATTATGAATCTGATAGCGCAGCAATATAAAGATGTATTTTCATTGAACACAGGATTGAAATGGTTGTGTCATCGTTACTGCGTGGATCCAAAAATAAGTACCAGAGAATCCTTCTTATAGGGGTCACATCTAATTAATAGGATCTATTGAACTGAATCGTCCAAAAACAATATCACGATCAGTTTAACTTACGCATTGTGTTTACATATAGTTTTGTTTTTTTCTAGAGACTGCAATGGGACTTTCGATCAATGCGCAGATGAATTACGACGGCGATTACGTCAGAGCTATCAATTCGTAAGTATAACGACACCACTATTTTGAAAGTCACCTAGTTTTTACAGCTATTCAATAGGTTAAAAGGAGATGAAATACGAGAAAATGTTTCCTTTTAAATTTCCGTGAAAAAAGCTTCGTGAAAATTTACACCATTCAATAGTATTTTCAACGATGTATACCTCTTAAACGATCCCTGAGATTTTTTACCTTGAAATTTTTTTCACGCCATACATTACGGAATCCTGAATATTTTAATTTTTGAATATATGAGAGGCATTTGAAGAGGAAGAAACGTGAAAAAATTGTAGATTTGATGAGATATTTTCCCTAAAGTATATTGAAAACTCGTGAGCTATTCACCATAAATGTACACAATTCTGTGAACTATCAAAATTTGACTATCTGCCTAGGCATTTGATAAATTGCCTAATTCGACTACTTAATTGCCTGCTACACACTGGAAAAAAAACACCTTGGATCTAGAGTCTAGACTCTTGAAAACATTAACAAGAAAAAATACTCTTGATTCGATCGGATTTTTGCTTGAATCAAAACGAAATCCGCTTAAATTAAGAGGCTTGGTTCTTGATTTAAGCTAGATTCTGATTGAATCAAGAGTAATTTTTCTTGTCGATGTTTTGAAGAGTCTGGACTTTAGATCCAACGTGTTTTTTTTCCAGTGCAGATAAACTCTATGCCCTTTTTTACCCATAGAGACAATAAAATCTCACGTATATTGTATGTTTTATCGCTTAACTGACAATGTGATCTTTGACTGTATCTATCTATGTACGCATTTAGCGTGAACCAGTTAATTCTAAAGAGGATACCACGCGCGTGGCTGTGGTGCGATTTTGTATTCAAGTACAGCCCGACCGGAAGAAAGTTCTACGAGAATCTGCGCATCATCCATTCTTTCACAACGAAGGTGAGGAACGCAAATTGAAATTTTAGATTTTGCCACCGAAAGGATTCGGTTGTGTGAACGACACTTTTCAGAGAGAGAAGCTTCAACATATCTTAATGAGGTGCAATTTCAACCGGCAGTCAACATAGTAATGGATAGAGTCGACAAATGAGATCATCAAATCGAGATATCGCATGTCTCCGCTCTTATTTTGTTTTTTGAAAAGGAAAACAAGTAACAATTCTTGACATTTTCATGATAGTAGCTTTCCCTAATTTAAGTCATTCACACAAAAAAAATTAGGTAGATATTTGGTCGATTTTTTTCTTTGCCTTCCTTTTTTTATTTTTTATTTTTTGAAAAAATTGAGCACATATTGGAAGTTGGTGAACGCTGCAGTTGAGGTAGGCAATTTTCACTTCGGCAAACTATTAAATCAACATGTTTCTCTTATAAGCTATTTGATGATGGAATCACTGGAACCATCAAATGTCGATATCAAAAGAATGACTCAGCGACTAGATCAGCTTATGATGAGGATAGCGCCTGCTTAACGCAACTATTCGACCCGGGAGGATGTCCGGGGTGCATACATAGAAAAATGAAGGCGCTCCGGCTATTCTGCTTAAGCAATAATATGCTCTACGTGCTTTCATGAGCTGAGAAGTTGAGGAATAAATTAGCCACTTTACGAATTTATAATTTTTTTCTGATTAGGTCATTCAAGAGAGACGAGAAAACTTTGCAGCCACGAGGGACGTAGCAGAGGATACGAACACAGACAAAGGTTAGCCGTTTTGACTGCGATTAAGTTTCCCAATTTCCTCTTTTTAGATGTATGTAAACATGTTGAGCTTAGGCGACGCAGCCTGCCTCGTCAGAAAAAATTGCCAACTTGCATTAATTGCCACTGGCCAGTTCTGCCACTAGACTCGATTTCTGCTTTATTCCTTCCTTCCTGAAGAATGATTGATGCTTGTTTTACAAGCGAGCTTTATCACCTGCAGACTTCATTTTCTGTTCATTTTGACCTCCCAACAGTACAAAAGTGTTATTCTGAAAATATGAGGAAGAGGTAACCTATAATTAGAATCTTGTAAAATATAAGATATTTTTTCGAGGAAAAAGGCTAGAATCTTGGAATGGAACTATATCATTTAAACTGTGAGCGCCAAGTTTGCAATTCATAATTCTCGTTCGAAGATTATTTTTGACGAGAAAAGTATTCAGAGATATTTCTTGGAATTGTAGGAAAATATGCTGGAATTTTTCGAGACTTTAATGGAAATTCTTTTGAAAATTAAACGACGATTTTTTGTATCAGGGTCAAAAAAGCAAGAAAATAAGGACGAGTCCATAATGTTTCCACGTGGAGTCCCATTTCCTTCAACTGACGATGTTATCAAAATTCAGTTCTCACTCTTTCTTGAAATTCTCATTGTCTTTTTGTCGAATTCAATCAGTCTCCAGTTTTATGATTTGCCTCATTTATGTCTTATTGTGCCTGCAGGAGATCGACGCAAAATGGCGTTTTTAGATTTGCTGCTCCATGCATCCCAGAACAGCGAAACACCTCTAACGGATGCCGATTTGAGGGAGGAGGTCGATACTTTCATGTTCGAGGTAGGTAAACGAGTTACTTAAACTGAACTTAAAGGCATTTTACGAATCTTTTCTTTTTGATTAAGTTGCGCTGCGGACACCTTTCCTTTCCTTTTTTTTCTCTCTCTTTCTCTTTTCTTTTTTTGTTAGGTCTGAACACAAATTTGCTGGTCGAAAAACACGCAGATGGACATGATTTCCTCACGAAAGGACATAACTGCATTTCAATGTTGCCAAATTTTTGACCCGCGCAAAGGTCGTTATTACCGGAATAATTTTGAGAGTTCCGAAGAGGAAATGTCACTAATTTTTCTTCTGACCTCGGGCGAAACTCAAACAAATTTTCAAGAAAACTTATGCAGGTTTATTCTCGTAAAAAATGTAATTTTTCAAGTCAATTTCGCAATCATGGAATGGAGTTACGTTCTTTTGTGCGCGAAACGACGATTTGTAGAATGAGGCATAATATTGTCCTACAGATCAGCAGAACAATTGGCTGCTCCATGCAGAAGTCCTGGGCGTTTTCTCATAATGCGAATTCTGAGCTTCTAGAGAGTATATGGAGAGAATTTTCTCTGCGTCTATCGTTCTTCTGCCAAAAAAAATGTTCAACCGCATTTCTTTCACAACCTCAAAATTTTTGTCCGTTAAAGTAATATAATGGCTGCGCCGAATCAGCAGCGTGAAATTTGAGCCGGATGGGCGCAGCAATTGATTTTTTTTCGCTTTTCCAGCAAATAAGAGAGCAACATTAGATAAACTTATACATCATTAAAATGTATTCTATGAGACGGTTCCTATCAACTTTCCTTTGTCCATCTATTTCGAACTAGCGGCAAAAATTTTCTGCCTTTTGTGACTATCCTTGCATCAGTGACGAGACACCCAGCTAGGCTTAGAAATGTGACATTTAGAATAAATTTAAAAGCCAATTAAAAAGTTTCAACCGTCAAAATACGGATCCATCATTTACGCGTCTGCCTGATGCAATTACAGCCTTCCCCTCAAAAAATAAAAAAGTAATACTCGAAACTTCAATCACGTGATTTAGTTAAAACGGCAGCATATCCTTAGGTATTTCCGCTTCCGGAAGTTAGCATTCAGTGGCGAGGCATAAATGATCGATTTTCGATATTTTCCTATATAAAGCTATGGTAAAGAATCGATTATGAAGGTGTTCGTTGCGAATATCCTGCCTATCGACCATTCTTCATGGGTTTAATGGCAGATTCATCGATACATCGCAAAGTACACCACGTCACTGTTAGCATTCACCGCATGGTGTGCGTAAAACTAGAGGAATGTAATTGGACGTCTTTAAACTGAGAGGATCTGTCTTCAGCGAGGAATTTCAAGAACATCGTAATTCCGTATTCTGGGGGTTCAGGAGGTACGCGCTATTTCATATTGCTCCATGTAACTAGATACCCTCTGTTTAACGACGCTCAATTCATGAATTGACGATTTTGATCCGACGCGGAAAACTGCTCGATCTGCGAACAGTTGCACTAAATGATCTCCGTCTTTCAACAAAGTTTTATCCCTTAACGGTAATTGGTCAGGCGACGACGGAGTATGGGAAGCTGAACAATAACAGCGGATCCTCAAAGGGTTTTCGTTGGAGTTACGCCGTGGTTATGTCCATTTGAATGCATGTGAAACAATCGATATTTATAGAAAGTAGAATCGATAATTCATACTGAGTTTAATGAGTCATCAACTTGCGATAATCGCTACTATCGAAAGGTAGTGGCGTGGGAGCTGAGTTGCCACCTTTGGAATTTTGCAAATGAAAGTTCATTTCTTGGAGTTGCTTCATTCCATAAATAAGAGGGCATTTAAGTATGCCTAAACCACAGTGGATCGAGTCAATTCGAGAGGTCGGACCTAACATTTTTTGACTAAAACTGCAAATTTTGATGTTTATTTCGTCACATTTTAAATTTTAAGAAGTGCTCGTAGAAGAAAGTTTCACAAAAAAGCCAATGGAACAACTTTTAGAACCTCAAAATTGTGTATAAACGGAGTTTTAAGCTTTTAAAGTTTCCAAATTTTGTCAGATCTCTCCTATCGATCGATCCATCCACTGTGCGGTCACCGAAAAAACGGTAGCACGTACGCGAATTTTTCCAGAGAGCAATTTTTATCAGATTGGTCTAAAAATTAAAATGTAAGTTCCCAAGGGGGATGCTATTTAGTATGCCGTACCCACAGCACCTATATCTAGGGAGAGAGTGGAGCCTGTGGGGTACATTTCGACGGTAAGACTTTCAAACCACGTGTCTTGTTTGCAGTGTTTTACAATCTCCGCGTCCATTTTATTTCTTGTAAAAGAAAACAAATCGACCACACGGAAGTGTTTAAGAATTAATGTTGGGATATTTTTCATTTAAAATGAAGTATGACAGGAAGTCTACAACGTCGCAAACCGGGAAACGTGGATTGGGAGTCCAACGCGCTTTGTGATTGATTCGGATATGTATTGCAACACAGTTGAAATAAGTTGCAATTTTTTCGCATTTCAAATTGCCTCACTTTCTCAAACAATAAACTTATCGGCGGGAAAGTTGCCTTTTAAAGTTTGGTTCATAACTCAAGCTTTCGGTCGACTCTGGGGTATCCCAATCTCACTTTTGTTTTCTGCGCTAAATTCACCGCATATGTACCGTTGTCAACACAACATTTGGGTTTGTTTGTGTTTCACTTTTTATTATAACCAAAAGTAACACAAGAATGCAAATTAACCAGTGTAGCACGGCGCACTAAAACAGTAGGTTTGATTTTATTCTAAGATTTTGGAAGATGATTTTTGGTAGGAACATTCTTCCATGCGATGACCCAGAGACTGCCAATTTGATTTTTCTAAAATATGCTCCGTATATCGGTGAAAATTTAGATTTTGTCGAATTTATCCCGCTCCTTCAGAGTCGGATCCAGCAATTTGGCAACACCGGATTCTTTCCATTTAAACCTATGTTAAATAATCGATTCTTGTCGGAGCACCTGGCCCCTCAAAGAATCGATACATTTTCATAGGTTTAAATGGAGGGAATCCGGTGTTGCCACATTGCTGGATCCGCCAATGCCCCCCTTCCTCTACACTGTCGTGATACCGAAGAGAGCAGTATGTGTCAAATTTTTGAAATCGAGCTTCCTTAAAAATTCGTCTGAACTCTTTTAGATGAAATTACTGAAATTGCTAAAATAGCGAAATTCATTTTAATTGTATAAAAACGAGACATACGAGAAAACCGTAAGTGCGCAGAAAATGACGAAGTTTTAGGCAAGACAGGAGCAAGTGACAATATTCCTCCAGATAGCCAATGAAAACAGTGCTTTCAAGTAAAGTGCCGCCCTCTTCTGACAATTTCTAACCTGAAAATGTGTTTGTTGTGAGTCCAAAACACAACCACGAGAGCATGCAGAAGATAGCACTTATGGCTGTCTTACCTAATAATAGCCTAGCTTGAAAATGAAAAATACCTTTTACATGTAATTGAAATTAAATCAATCGATTTTTAATTATCTGAAAGATTTTTAGGAATCTTTCGGACGATTAGTGGCATTTGTTAAAGAACGGGAGGCTTCTTTCAATAAAATTTTCCGGTCAGAAGCTTCCGTGCCCGTTTTTTCAAAACTCCATCTTCAAACTTACTGCTCTCTTCGCTTCGTCCAGAGCCGGAACGCACCTCCTGCAGTTATGAATAAACGAAAGGAAAAGCTGAGGGGTTCGACGCATTTTTTGGGGCGGGTCATCGCTCACTGGATCTCAGGGAACCTTGTCACGCTCGAGTATCCACAGTCAGAGACTCACACGTGGCCGTTATGTTTATAATGTTTCCCTTAATGGTCGGTCTGGGATAAAAAGAAACCCAAACTTCCTGTACATCCCGAGTTCTTTGAGGGAGAAGCGAGAAATGTTTGACTTCGTAACAGGGATAAGTTGACGCAAAAGCTCCCGCGCCGAGCAGAAACCACCCAAGTCCAACGATAAAGCGAATGCAGTTACGTGGTTTTGAGACAGTGTAGCGCACGCGGAGGGAAGGGACATTCTGCCGGCTTCTTAATAAGTCGGAGGGAATGACGGAAGGAATGCTGAGGTGCTGAGGAAAACCGCCGTATGAACCTTCATACGTTGCCAAATTTCATTTGATAAAACACAAATTTCCTGCTGAAATTATACATGTTTTTCTTCTAATTTTTTAGATAATTTTTCTTGCAATTTTAACTAAAACTGCAGAAAATTTCAAAAGAATATATTCATAAATTTCCTGAATAATAAACATTTTATCGAAGGAAATTTGGCAACGCTCGAATTTGCGTACGGCGTTCTTCCTCAGCACGACAGAGAATGCAATTCATTCGTATTCGAAGGAATCGCCACCCTCCCCTCAGAAAGGACATAAGTATAAATTCACTCGCGGCAGGAGTTAAGTCCTTTCTGCGGGCGGGGTTTGCGTCGAGGCGCGCCGAGGAAGAAAATCAAGGGATGGTTGTAATTGAAATCTTCCAGTCGGTGAATAGTTCGTCGTTTTCCTCACGAAAGAACGTAACTACATTTCAATGTTGCCAAATTATATATATATGAGTCGCTTTTATAGCGCTCTTTGGCGCTGTGCGACGCCTAATCGCCACAAAGCTCGGTCTTCCCACAGGTCATCAGGGAGTTGACAATCTCTTATCTCATTTAACACCCCCTGTCGCCAACCTCGCACTGGGCGTCCCCTACGTCTCCTCCCAGGAGGAACCCAATCAAGCATCTTTTTTGGCAGCCTCTCTTCCGTCATCCTATTGACATGACCATACCAAACAAGTTGTTTGGTCATGACGTCGAACACGATGTCATTTTCGACTTCCATTATCTGACGCACTCTATCATTACGGACCCGATCTCTCCTAGGAATTCCTGCTGACCTTCTCCAGAAATCCATCTCCGTTGCTCTTAGCATATCCTGTGTCCGTTTCTTCAGCTGCCAAACTTCACATCCGTATGTTAATATACTTTTGACTACAGCGTTGTATATCCTCCTCTTGTTATCTTTGGAAATCCGCTGATCCCAGAGGATTCCATTTAACATCGCTATAGCCTTCCTTGCTAAGGTGTTCCTTTCCCTGATAGCTTGATCCGTCCTTCCATCCTGGGTCAACCGCACTCCCAAGTACTTAAAGTGCTCGCAGCCTTTGATCTGCTGCCCATCCTCCAACTCAATGCTTTGCTGATCACCGCCAAAAGTCATCTTCTCAGATTTGGATATGCTGACTTCCAGACCCCACTTCCGATACTCTTCTACTAGCTTGCGCATCATGTATTCCGCGTCATCTTGATCTTGAGCAACCACCACCTGGTCATCAGCAAAGCACAGAGTAAACAGAGTTTCGAGATCACCCAAGGGGACACCCATACCAGAGCATTTCTTTTTCCATTCTTTTAGCACGCACTCGAGATAAATTTTAAATAATGTTGGCGACAAACAACATCCCTGTTTTAAACCCTTAGTCACATAAAATCCCGCTGACAACCCCCCATGGCACTTAACTTTGGTAAAACTCCCTTTATAAAATCGCTTAACAGCGTCAATCAACCCCCCGTTAAAATTCGATTTTTCCAAGGCCTCCCAAAGTTTCACCAACGGCACGCTGTCATACGCCTTCTGGAGATCCACAAAAAAAAAATGTTGCCAAATTTCCTTTCGTAAATTGCATTTTAACCAGAAAAATTGGGCATTTCTAACTGAAAATTTCACTGATTTTTCTTCCGATTTCATGCAAAAATCAGACAAATTTGGATATAAATTGCACACTTACATTTTTGTAAAAGAAATTAATTGTTGGAGTCAATTTGGCAACCTTGGATTGGAGTTACGTTCCTTCGTGCGGGAGACGACGAGTTGCGAATTGACCAAAGCGGAGTGTCTTTCACCGAGGATTGTTGCGCGATGAGATTCGGATTTCGCGGAAACGAAGCCATCGAGCCCTTTGTTGGAAGCTCGAGAATAGAAATTTTAATTATGGACGTGACTTTCGCTCAAATCGCGGAAGCCCCGACCCCGACTTCTCGTTCCTCGAAAACTTCCCTCCTTTGCATTAAGCGCGTATCTCCGTTTCCAAGTGAGCCGCGGGGATCATTGAGTCACGGGTATTTCAGAGCTCATCTCAAATTTCAGTTACGATTTTTTGTCAAAAAAGCGACGGAAAGAGTATCAAAATGACTGCGGAATTACTTCAGGCCTGAGTGCGCCGGAATCGTCCCTTCTGTTGACTTTTTTTCAGCTTCCCAGTAATATCTACCCTCCCCCGATCAGGTGTCCGCAAGAAAGAAGGCGAGGAGGCGCACTTAATGAATCTCAGGATTAGACGATGGATCTTCTACACCTCGGAGTTTTATCTGAGACAACAGTGCTGTCTTTTTTCTTCCCCGTGACATCGGTACAATTTCCAATAAAGTACTCGTATTTCTCACTTATTTTAGAAAAAACATTTGTAACGATAGTTTTCATATTCAAATTAGAGTTGGCTTTAGGCTTTAGGGGGTGGCCACATGGGCCGCGGCCCGTGGCGGCAAATTTAGGGGGCGGCAAATTTTGCAATTTTTTTAAATGTAGGTATATAAAAAAACTGATTCAGAAAAAAAAATACAATGAAATATACAAATACAACGCAAAATTTATCATTTCCTGAGATAATAGTAATTTCTAATTTTTTCGTCTTTCGATGATACAAGAGGCAGCACCAGCGTTGATTAGTCGAGTTAAAAAAAACCAATCACACAGTTTGGCTTGGAGCGGCGCGGCACATAGAGAGCAATAATGACGTGGACTTGAGATGAAAAGGAGAAGCCCTCGGCGCAGCGGTCGGCATGTAACATATATTAGCGCCTACAAGACTCCATGAATACTTCACGCATTGCGTCAAATACAGTGCGGTCAGTAGCGGTCGACGAGAAACGCATAGCGCCTACAGGACTGTATGAATACTTCACGCATTGCGTCAAACACAGTCCGTTCAGCAGTGTTTGGCGTGAAACGCATAGCGCCTACTGGACTGAAGGAATACTTCACGCATTGCGCCAAACACAGTGCGGTCAGCGCGGCGCGGCGCGGAGGCGGAAGTTAAAATTATCAAGCCACATTTATGTTTGTTCTTTCATAATTTTTTCGTTTATTTCTTATAAATGTAAGGCCTCGTCCACACAAAGATAGGTTAACGGAACTTAACTTTCGCCCACAGTTCCGTGAACTTTTGCTGGTGGTGATGACAGGGCTTTCGCAAAAAATGTGTTCAACAGAAGTAAACGCAACTTATGCACCCTTCCTCCTAAGGCACGTTTACTTGATGATTTTTATTGATGTTTCAAAACGAACGAGAAGGGGGCGGCAAAATACAAGCGGCCCATGGGCTGCAAGTATGTAAATCTGGATAATGTATGGCGGATACGTTGTTTTATAAAATCGAGCCAGTTGGGTCTTATTCTTTTAGCACCCTCTAGAAGTGTCTGGAATCAAATTGCAATGCATTTTTTTATTTTTATTTTAATTTTGTATTTTGTGTAGTTTTTTTTTTTTTTTTAATCATAAGAAGAAGTGTCTTACTTATTGAACGCCTCTCTTTGTTGTTTGATACTCCTTCAGTCGCGATTACCTCATTACCTAACTCGGCCACAGGGAGGATTTGAATAATGACAGTTGTTAAGGCCAATCTGGTCTGAAGCAGCCACCACTCTACTTTATCTTCAAAGCCTCTCTTTAGCTTGAAAGGAGTGACTCTTGGATAGAAATGACCAGCGGCACCGCTTCATATTTGGTCGTATTTCTGCCAAACGGAACTATGTGCATTAAGACGTGAGCCCTGAAACTCATAAGACTACATGCATAACAGGGCTCACGTCATAATGCACATAGTTCCGTTTGGCAGAAATACGTTCATTTTTCGTGTTTTACCAAGACGAGTGATTGAAACTCCTTGAGTCTGGATCATTCAAATATGCATTTGTTCAAGGTCAATTTACCCCGCTCATATGGAAATTTTGAGGGAATTTCTCGATTAAATCTCCTCAAAATCCTTTTTTTCCGTATCTGTTTCAGGGGTATGACACCACTGCATCGGCTCTTGTATGGGCTCTATTTCGCTTGGGAACTCACCAAAATTGTCAGGTAACTGAATGGTTTAAATATGATGATTTCTCTTTAGATTTTGTATGTGCTCTTCGATTATTAACAGTATTATTAGTTTTAGTAGAAATAGTAACCACCCTATATGTCGCTAACCAAGTGCGAAACCACGTACTTCCATTGCAGTGTTTCGAAATTTCCACTCTTATCTTATTTTTTTAAAGAGAAACAAACCAACTATACAAATCGAAATGTATACAGAATATTCAGCTAAGAGAGAATAGAAATATAAGCAGTTTTCAAGGAACTAGGCTGATTACTGATGAGGAATAAAATATGACAGAAAGTCTGCAACATCGCAAACGGAGACACGTGGTTTTGCAGTTAGTTCATCAATGTACATTATGTGTTTTAAACTTGATGCCGATTTCAGTTTTGTTTACACTGGGAAAAAACTCCGGCCGTGGGAACCGTATTATTTTACGGGCTATGTAGACGGTACCGTCCGCCGTCCCTGTACCTGGCGGAGCAGCCGGAGCAGTCAAAGCTAAGACTCCAGCACCCGGAACTTTCGGCCACTGAGCCCGGAATGGACCGTATATGTTTACATAGTCCGTAACTTTTTTCAGGGTAAGGTCAATGAGTCAGACAAGTATCCAGTGGCAATTCTTGGAAGTTGGCAACACTGTTTTTTCTCCATTTAAATGTATGTAAAACAATCATTTTTTCGATATCGATATTTTTCAAAATCAATATTTTCAATGAATTTAAAGGGAGGAAAAACAGTGTTACCAACTCGCAAAATCGCCGCTGCCATAATCTTCCACCGGTCTTCCCAAATCTTATTTTCTGCATAACGTTGCGAGCAATCTTGTGCAAATAAATAAATTTTGAAGTTAAACTTTGCAATGTTGTATTGTAATTAAGCCTTTTTGGCTCTGACTCCGTCGGCGTGCACCCTGCCAAGTGTCCGGTGGTCGATTGGTTTTGCAGTTTACCGCACAGGCGTAAAGTGCTTTTCGAGCATTTGCGCACACATATTTCCATCTCAGATTTTTGCAAAACGGACTTTCAATGCACGGATCTTTCTGATTGTTCAGGAACGCTGCGCCGAGGAGTTGAGAGAGATATTCGAGGGTTCCGAAAGAGCACCGTCCATGAAAGACCTTTCGCGCATGAAGTACTTGGAACAATTTATCAAAGAAGTTCTACGCCACTATCCGAGTGTTCCTTTCATCGGTCGAAAACTGGGTTCGGACACTCTCCTGGGTAAGGCATCATTACGGTGTTATAACTATTTTAAAAATAATGTATTTTATAATAAAAGATATTTTAAAAATACCTATATGGGGTTTAAATGAAATGAGGGAGTGCCAACTCTCTGGATGGTTGTGGGAGGATCGAGCACTGTGACGGTAGGTGTCGCAAAGCGCCAGAGAGCATTTTGAAAGCGACTATTATGTATGGAATTATGGATAGCAATTTTACGAATTTTTAGATTTCTAAGGATCCCATATTCAGCTTCTCATACTAAGCGTATGATTCTGGATTTCTGGCATATTTAAGGCTCGCCGCGAAGTCTAATACCTGGGCTGATCAAAATGGATCCCATGGATCACTATAAAAGTGCTCTAACTTAACCGAATCGCTCAAGGGACAGCGTAATGAGGCGGATGGACAGCATGAGACAAAAAATCTTCAAATAGATATGTATTGCTGCACGGTGGATTTGTTCTGGCCTACCTCTTGGATTGAAGGCAAAATAGAAATGTGTTATACTTCTGCACGTTCCTTCAAATCAATACTGCTTCCCCTGGACGCAAACGGAAAACGACACTCCTGCCGTGCTAATAAGAACACCGTATGAGCCTTCAGACGTTGCCAAATTTCCTTTCATAAATTACGAATTTTCGGGGAAATCTGTAAATATTTTCCCTCCAGTTTGCCATGATATTTTTTTCGTTTTTAGATCTAAATTATCTGGAAATTTCGAGAGAGAATATTAATAACTCTCTTCAAAAATAAACGTTTTATTGGAGGACATTTGGATTGCATTTTTCGAAAAGGAACCAGGAGCATTGCCATGTTGCTAAGATTATACAGGTACTTTTGTCTCGGAAGAAAAACCCGATTATCTATAAACAGTTTCTATTTTACTCGCGAAAAACTGTAAATTTAGAACAAAAATCAACATGTAAATTTCAGAATTTTTCAGGACTTCAATAGTTATATTGCAATGGATGAAGTTGCACAATCTTAGCAACATTGCAATGCTCCTGGTTCCTTTTCGCAAAATGCAATCCATTTGGCAACTCTCGATGTTCATACGACGTTTTTCCTTAGCTTGGTTGACTAGCTTTATATTCAGGAAATTACATTATGATGTTATGTCATTTTTGTGTTGTTTCCTATCTCTTGTAAACCATTGATAACTCGACCGAGAGGGCTTCTCGCGAACTGCATGACATGTCTTAACATATTTTCTTGTTATTGACGTATAAAAGCTTCTTAATGGCAATGTGGATGTTCGACTAGGAGAATATTTGATACCATCCGGGACGAATGTTGGTATCGACATCTATCATTTGCACCGGGACGAGGAGCAATTTCCGAATCCGGATGAGTTCAATCCGGATCATTTTTCCGCTGAAAACATCCGCACTCGGCATCCGTATGCATTCATTCCTTTCAGCGCCGGGCCCCGCAACTGCATAGGTAAGCACTTTCTGTTTTTGCCGAATAATTCGATCGGACGGGTATTCCATAGTGGTTTGTCGTAGAGTCCCTCGCAGTGTCACAAACGGGAATAAAGATTATCAGCAATTGCTAAGATTATAAACTGGAATGGACTGGGGAATGGAGATGTTGCTGGGAAAATACTGGGGGAATTCTGGGGAAGACTGGGGAAAATGGAGATGATTCCTTTGTAAAAGTTCGCGGGAAACACAATGGTACCCCTGGTTTCCTCTGAAATCAACTTTCAAGCTCAAAAAAGCTCTCAAGTTGAGGCCAAAATGGAGGGGATATCCCTCGCTATACTAAGAGTCCACCTCTACATCAAAACAAACTCTCCATGCAAAGATAGGGAGCAAGTACATTGGCAAGGCTGCCACTTTATTTGGGGATTCTAAAACTGAAAACACGGCATCACTGCTAATGTATTTGCTCCCTATCTTTGCATGGAGAGTTTGTCATGACGTAGAGGTGGACTCTCAGGATAGCGTGGGATATCCCTCCATTTTGGCCTCAACTTGAGAGCTTTTTTTGAGCTTGGGAGTTAATTTCAGAGAAAAACAGTGGCCACAACGTGTTTCTCGCGAACTTCTGCACAAGAATCAATAATCAAATCGCAAATCCCTTAAACATGCAACATCTCCATTGAGGGTATGGCAGGCATCCATTTTTCCAGCTGATGATAGTCCATTCCATATGCAAACATAAATCCATAAATGTATGTTTGTAAGTACCCCACGTGCCTAGTACAAGCGTCCAGCGAAAAATATAAGAACTGTATGGGAACCTGCGAATGTCATTTCGTCACCTTCTGGCCAAAGTATCACAAACGCCATGCGGCGTTTCAAAATTTCCACCGAAATTTCATTTCTTTACAGAGAAATCGTTGGATGAATCTGTTTGAAAAATTTCACTGAAGTCAATCGGCAGCACAAAGTAAATTCAGTGAAATTTTCGGACAGCTTCGTTAAACAACTTCTACGTAAAAAAATAAAATGGTGACGGAATTTAAACGTCGTATGGTGCTTGTGATACTTTGGTCGGAAGGTGACGATTTGCAAAATTCTCGTTTCCGCAATAGCTGGCGAATTCGCGGCCGAAGTTGCACCTTCATCTTATGAGAACGCACACAGTCATACACGTCCGAGAGGCGAATCGATTCGATGCGCTGCCCAGGCCAGAGGAGATGGAATCAGTCATCAAACATGTAATAATTCGTGAGCCACACGATTATGTTGCTTGGTTTTTCCAGAACTAACTCTTATAAAAATAAAAGCTCTTTAAATTGAGCCAATGATAAAGCTAGCAGTGGAGCATTCCTGCGCGAAGGGAATATCCATTAACAGTACTATCAGTACTAACAGTCTATCCTATCTCACACCTCATGCAGAAATAGTTGAATTCTTTAGAAGAGTTACCATGACCAGCGGCGAGGGGTGAATGATCGACCATCGATATTAACCCATTTGAAGCTATGGTCAAGAATCGATTATTAAGGTTTTCGTTGCGAACACCCTGTGTATCGATCCTTTTCCATAAGATTAAATTTCAGATCAATCGATACATCGCAAAGCACGCCGCGCTACTGATCATGACGTGGGTTGGAAATCACTGTCTCTACATTATTGCAATCCCGACAAAAGGGCTCACTAGACATTAAAATAGACTCTGTGGTAGAACTGAGGCATAAAAGCTCTTTTGAAGAACTTTTTTAAAAGTTAAGAGTTAATTTTACAAAAAACATTGGTGCCGTGTTGTTCTGAGATTGTTATATAAACTAGAATTTAAAAAAAAACTAAACTTAAATCTCAACCGTTAATTTTACGATTGGAAAATCAAAAATGTCCGTCGCGAACAAGAACTCCTTTCTAGAAGAAAGTATGTCTATTGAAGCGATGATTTTACGGACACTTGAATGTGTTTTGATTGAATTTAAATTTAACGTCCAAGACTTTCCTATTTGTGCTTGTTGATGGCGTATCATTACGCCGCCGCCGTCTAAATGGGACTCGTATTTAAAATTAAAAAGGGGGCGAAGGATACAAAAGAACAAGGGAAACAAGTTTTCAGATTGTAAAATATTGGCATGCTTATAGTTTCTTATAGGAGCGGAACAAGTTCGTCCCTCCTGCCGAACGTACAATCTATCATGACTTTACTTAAGAGTGATCAGATACAGCAACTGAGTCGGCCTTCAATTTAGCGCCTATGCAATTTTGACTACTTCCGAGTCGAAATAGTTGTATCATGCCCCTTGATCGCTCGATTCAAAATCCGACCATACAGGATCCAGTTGTGCACATTGTGCCATCGATCATACTCCACGATAAAAGTTGGAAAACGCATATTTTGATCACCGCGTTACAAAATCTACTTAATTTTTTTATTTCAAGGAGAAATTCAGGATATTCTCTCGTATTCTTCGTGAAAAACCCGCACTATTGTAAGAAATAATGCTTAATAGTTTTCTGTGAGAACTTACAAGGCGACAAGAAATCTGCAACTTTACAAATGAAGGTATGTATTTTTTTACTTCCCTGATGACTTCGTATCTTATTTGCAGGTCAAAAGTTCGCCTACCTCCAAATGAAAGTGACTCTCTCGACAATACTAAGGAACTTCATCATCGAGACAACGATGAAACCAGAGGACATCCGAATTACTTTCGAGTTAATTTTGAGATTTGAGCCAGATATAAAAATCAAAATCAGAAAAAGGGATGCATCTTTGTAAATAATATTCCGTCCAATTCCGTTCGGCGTGGACACGCGAGTAATGACGTCTTTCTCTCTCAAGTCGTGCTACGTAAAAACGTCGTATAAGCATACGAATGTTGCCAAATTCCTCCCAGAAACTATATATTTTTGAAAAAAGTCATGTATATATTTCCTTGAGATTTTTCAGTCTGCTCGGATCAAATTACGAACGAAATCCTTTGAAAAATCGGAGGACAAATATTCACATATTATCCCGAAAATTCGTGATTTCTCGAAGGAAATTTGGCAACACTTTATGGCTTATACGGCGCGTTTTAACTTAGCGAGGCAGCATTACCTTGATGTAGTGAAGCAGTGAAGCTTACTCTCGTGTACAGTCACTTACTCGTTCTCTTTTTTCATACAAAAAAATTAGGAGCTAAAGGAATGGAAGTTTATAACAGATTGTCTGTATGATTCTTTCCTCTAGATTGATTCTGAAATATTTAACTTGCTTTCGACATGAGTTAAATGATCTTTTGAGAGCAACTAGAAAGTAAATCAATCCAAAGTCACTTTTTCATCTCGTGCATAACAAATTAGCGAATGGTTCCATATTTTTAGTGGTATACGAAAACCACCTTCTGACTGGGAGCTCAGTAGTTTATCGTGCATTGTAGAATTTTATTGTAGTGCAACATGACTGTATATTTTACCATTAATAAGAATAAAAAATAAAAATTTGTAAATACTTTTTCCCCCGAACCATCCTCATTGATCTTACTCATTTTTCCGTCAGAAAATTTTAAGACTTTTGTCAATTTTCTCAGCATTAAAGTTTCATTACGAATTGTGATTTAAGTTATGACTGATAAATCATTTTTCCACTTCATTTTTAACCTGTTACCTAATTTAAGGGGCTTGGAGGACAATACGCATAAGTGCAATCTTTTCTATTTCGAGAAATATGTATTTGAAGTTTTGAAATTACATGGATCCTTGTGCCGAAAAGAAATTTCAAACTGAAATTTTGATGCTTAAAAACTGGAATGAAGGAGCGAATTTTTCATAGAATTTGCATTAAGACCACTTTTACTTGAAATCATTAATATCTCGGTTTTTTTTTAAAAAAAAAAACTGCACTGCGCTTTGTCCTCCAAGCCTCTCATTTAAAGTTATCCTTGCCGTGTTAATGCAGCAGAATGATACAATTTACAAGATTTGTTCCAGGCATTCCGTTATATTCTGCTCATTTAAAAGAACAATGGAATATTTTTGTTTGTAGATTTTTCCATTTTGTTCCTAATCTCCCCTTTTTTGAGTGTAAATTTTCAGTCTCGATGAAAAAATCTCATAAATTATTTTTCATAAACAATGTTTTACTTTAAAGGAGGGAGGTTTAAGGAAGCTTAACCTAATTTCAGAGGGCCCACGACCTAAATGACAAGTGTGTAACGGAAAAGAAAGAAAGGTTAAAATGCCTCTTATAGCACGAAATAATGTATGTAAATTTTAACCTCCTAAAAATTTAAAAGGGTATCTAATCAGGCACTTTTTCAACTGCTGACTTTGAATTAAAACCCCCTGCACTGAAAAATAGTCACGGGCTGTATTGACAGCCGCGACATATACCCCGTGCGTTCCAGGCTCAGAGGCCGAAAATTCCGGGTGCTGGAGCTGTCGCTTCGACTGCTCCGGGTGCCACACCTGGAAATTTCGGCCTCTGAGCCTCGAATGCGAACGGTATGTCTATACAGCCCGTAAGCACAGTTTCTACGGTCGGAGTTTTTTTTCCAGTGTGTAAAAGCAAAGTGCGAGCAAAGACATTGCAACAGAGCAATGCAGTTTCAGTGCTTCGGTATAAAAGGGAGGACAAAATGGGCTTGGCGTGATCAATATGAGAGGATCTACTTTCATTTGTCTCGAGATAAAGTCTGCCCGTACCTCAGCTCATTGAGCATTCGACTACAGATTTTAATATCACAGATTGGTATCTCAGATGCGCTGCGCTGCGGCAGCGGGTGGGTTTCAACAAGTTCAAACTTTCATCTCATGTCGGAATTAAAATACGGCGCGCGGTTAAATTAGTGGCCTGAGTCACGCTTTGAATGCCTTCACAGTGCTTTTACAAGGGGAAAAAGAGATGAAGGCCAATGGCGAATGGTGTTCGATCGTCACCCACCCATTTAGAGGCTATGGACGCCAGCAGTCCCAGCCGTGACGTCATGATCGGGTAAACAAATTTACGTTCACCCCAAAAAAAGGGAAAAGGAGAAGAAAGAAGAAGGAAGAAAGAATGAAGGAAGAAAGAATGAAGGAAGGAAGAATGAAGGAAGGAAGGAAGGTAGTAGTAGTAGTAGTAAAATAATTTTATTTTAAAGCGGTGCTTTAAGGAAGGAAGGAAGGAAGGAAGGAAGGAGCGAACGGAGGAAAGTCAATAAAGAGCATTGGCGGATCCAGAGGGGGGGGGGGTGCGTCCTCTACGCCCCCGATCCGCATTCCGTCTGCAATTAAATTCTCGATAATGTAAATTCGAAACTTGAATCAAGTATTTCTCGAAGTAGCAAAAACTGTACCTACTCGCCTTGTCTCCAAAGCCCCCCATCTTGACTATTTGCCCACGCATTCAACAACATGCCGGATTTGACTATTTAGCTGCGATTCATCGAATTTCGGTAGGTTCGGTTACTTTTACCGACGGGAGGTCTATGCTGTTCGAATGTTGCCGAATTTCTTCTTTGAAAATATAAATTTTCGAAGAAAGTTCTCAATAAATTTCCTTGGAATTTTCAGACTTTTCAGATTGAATTACGAACAAAATCCCCCGAAAAATCGGAGGAGAAATGTATCCAAATTTTCCTGAAAATTCATGATTTTTCGAAGGAAAATTTGGCAACGTCTGATGGCTCATACGGCGTTCTTACATGAAACGGCAGTATAGTGATTGGTTGGGTTTTCTCCCGGTGCATCTCCGCTTTCACGTCAAGTTTAACGAAGTTTTTCGCATGGATCTGACAAATCTGCAAGGCATCCAGGGGCCAGTCGAGGTGGAGGTTGTGGTATAGGGAGGGGGGAGGGGGTGAGAGGGACAAAGAGGTCGAATCCAAAAAGTTACACGTTACGGACAGGCGACAAGCCGCTATTAAGGTTATTGGCCTAAATTAGCATTTAAACGAGCTTTGGCCCCGGCTAAAGACAGCTCCTGCTCCGGCGACATCTTCACCTGTTCTTTCCCCCGCGGCTCCACCGCACTGAGGAAGAACGCCGTATGCACATTCCAGAGTTGCCAAATTTCCCTCGATGAATCGTTTATTTCTGAGGGAAGTTATGAGTATTTTTCCTCGAAATTTTTGGAAACTTTAGGTGGAATTGTGAGTAAAATTTTTTGAAAATTTTTTTGAAAAATATTTACAAATTTCCCCCGAAAATTCGTGATTTATCGAAGGAAATTTGGCAACGCCTGAGGGCTCTTACGGCGTTTTTCCTCAGCACGGCAGAGCAGTTCTCCGACCTTACTCCAATTTTCAAAGTCCAACTTATTCCCAGATGTAATTGCATACGATATTTCATCGTTAATATTACTGCAGCGGGTCCGCCGGACTCCGACTTTCGGAGGGGCGACACTGGTATTTATCTTTTTTTGTTCTCTTTTTCGGTTTGCCCCTCTCGCCCCCTTTCTTCCGGTTTTTTGTCTCCTTCGAGGGGGTTCTCCGGCAAAGTGTTTCGGGAGACGCTATGCAGCTATGCTATGCCCCTCCTGCCCGCCCTGGAGCTTGCCCTGTTGCCACACTCCGCCTACGCTTCCGATGGTCTCCTGAGTGTACTGCCGTGCTAAGGAAGAACGTCGTATGATGACTCGCTGGAAAATCATATATATAAGCTCTGAGGCCTCCTAAATTTGCACATCTGGTAAGGTTCAGCTCCAGCGTCCTACCGGGCCGATTTTCTTTATTTTTGCGGCTATCGACAGGCAATTGTCTCTAAATGAGCCCTTTATTCAGATAATGAAAATTTGACCCAATTTTTTTTTTATATTACGCGTTAAAGTTGCAAATTTTCCCATTTAAACAATGTAAATTTTTATTTTTTGTCATAGTTCGTTTGAGCGTTCTACTGAGCCAATTTCCTTAATTTTTGCGGTTATCGACAGGTGATAGTCTCTAAGTGAGCCCACTGTAATCAGATTTTGGAAATAAGACCCAAAATTTCGTATAATAGAGTATACCCGGGAGCTGAGAAAGGGGGCAAAATTTGCAATTCCCGCCATTTTTCATTGGCGGGAATTTCAAATTTTCCGGAAAATTGAACTAAGCGGGTAATTGTGAATGTTGGTCTGTTAAAAGGATAAGGTAAGTGAATCGAAGGTAAGCTTCTTTGCTACAGACTATCCAAAAGTAAAGAAATGCTCATTTTCGTTCGTTTTGTTTCGTTTCAGTCTTGGCCTGAAGTTTGAAATAAATATCGGTTTTCTTATTTCATTCTTATTGGTCCAATCGCTCCCGGCCAGAGGGAGATTGGACAATAATGAGAGTCGGGTATGAAAATCTTTTCATTTTTTTTTTGGTCGTTCTTTTGTCGAAGCGGGCCTAAAAGAGGGCGAAGCTCCCTCTAACGGTTGGGCCGCGTAGCGGCCAGTGGGCATAGCCCCCTAGTATTTTGATATTGACATTGAGATAAGTTGCTAAACCTAGAATTTAGCCCCGCTCTTGCGCTAAAGTCGACAGAAACACAACAAAAAACAGGAGTAAAAAAAAGAAATGTGGAAAATAAAATTAATACAAAGGACAATAAGTTGTACATTAATTTTAAGGAAAATGAAAGTTCTAATCCAGTGAACATACTATTACTTATCGCTAAGCTTGACGCTTCCTCCCACCGTTTGAAACACTCAGTCACACAATTATGAGGACCCGTCCACCCCATAAAACTCTACGTAGTTAATGGACTGTTCCTTAACCAGGCACTCAAAATTTCATCTTGGGCTTGTGTACGCTCGCAGTTTAGACGGACTCCTTTTAGCATATCAAAGGCTTAACAATACCGCCCGACTGAATATTTTGGCGAAAATGAGTCAGCGACTTTGCCACATTCTTCTTGCCGCATACTTCTGTGTTGAATACTGTGTTAAATACTAAATACTGAGTTTAAAGCTGGTTATTTTAGTTTTTTTTCCAATTCCGCATGGAAGCTTTTAGGGTTGCCACAGTCAGGAAATATCGGGAAAACCGGAAAATGCCAGGAAATTTTAGGAAGTCAGAGAAATCCTGGAAATGTCGGGGAAAATGACGAATATGTCAGGGATAAGGGTCTCAAGTCACCTGTATTTCCTTTCTAGAATAAGTCTGACGTTTCGGACATTAAATTTTGCTTGAAAACTATTTCAAATTATGTCCTTCTAAACATCTGACATATTTGACAAATATATATGGCAACACTGATAGCCCTTCCGATCCTATGCAGAGATGTGCGCACGCACCAACACCGTTACGTTTTTAATAAGTTTTAATATGTTTTTAATAAGATTACCAGTGTCTACCATGTGACTCAATAGTGTTTACCATGTAGTCCAGGATGATCTGGTGATCGAAATAGCTATCGCTAATTAAAATCTACAACCAAGTGATCGGGAAAAACAAAGGTAAAATGAAAAATCTGACATATCCTTAATTTCAGGGATTTCACCAAATTGTGACGGAAAAATCGGGGAAATGACGGGAAATTCCATTTTCTAAATTCCGTGGCAACCCTGAGCGTTGTAAAGACGCTGTAA